TGACAATCAAGCCGGAGGGGGTGGGCGTCTAAAAGAATAGGTTTCCCCAAGGATCCCTGCTAGCCTGCCCCCGCTCACCAGATATTGATTCCCAACAACGGCCGTCTCGTTTGGCCAAAAGCCGGAGAATTCGTGGAAATCGGCGGCGACTCGGCCCAGGAAATCGGGGGTGCTGCCTGGAAAGAGGGCAAATGGTCTCTGCTAGCAGGCCTAGATCAATTTTTAAATCGGGAATCGTTAGCCTGTATGTCAGTTTAGCCGATGACAGGCTAGCAAAGACAATTTGAGTCGAGTCAGGCAAGCTAGCAGCGATTCTTTGCTCTCAAGCGGGGCCAAATCAAACACCCGGGCAAATGGTCTCTGCTAACTTGCCTGGGTCGATTTTTAAAGCAGGAATCGATGGTCTGGATGTCAGTTTAGCCGATGGCAAGCTAGCGGGGACAATTTGACTCGAGTCAGGCAGGCTAGCAGGGATTCTTTGCCCGGCAACGTAGCAAATCCCATACCCGGGCAAATGGTCTCTGCTAGCTTGCCCAGAAAAATGTTTAAAGCGGGAATCGATAGCCTGTCTGCCAGTTTAGAAGTTCTGAATTCCCAAATGGCCTCTGCTAGCCTGCCCCTCTCCAAAATACCCATAAACAGATGGACGGAGATGATCCAGAGCCACGTGTAGAACATGTAGGCCACGATCACCGGCATCAGCATCACCGGCTCGTTCAGGAACTGCAGCAGTTCCGTTCTAAAGGAGCGGTGAAGGCAAAGAAATTTGAAACGTGCAAAAAATGAAAAAGAAAAATCGAAAAATCGAAAAAATTAAAATTTTTCCAATTTTACTTTGCAGATAATTATTATTTTTAAAATTTGTGCTGATTCCTCACCTTAATTAAATAAATAAATGGCTCAAAGATCCAAATTAAATTAACATGAAAATTTTTTTAAAAATAAAAAAATTAAGAACAACCACAATTTTTTTACATTCTGTAATTTAATTGTTTAACTTTAATTTTTTGAATTTTTTATGGCCGATATTTTTTTGCTTTCTTACCTGCAAATACATATATAGCGATAGATAAAGTGGAAGGCGAGCAGCATGTTGGATTGGGCGAACAGCGAGCAGTACGCCAAAAGGGCCAGATAACCCACTGAAAATGGCATTTGAAATTTCTACTTAATTTGCGATTAAAAAGAGCTTGAAAAGCGCTACAAAATGAGCTATAAATCATGGGAATCGAACGTTGCTACGCGGAGATACGGCCGATTGTAGTTTGTAGTCTGGGGCGCAAACTTTAAATCGCTATAACTTTGCCTAGGAATTAGCTGGCGTAATGATTTGTATAGCGTTTGAAAGCCCGTGAAAATCTCTACCAAATCATATATTAAAAATATTGAAATAATCAAACATTTTTAATTGATTTTTTGCTGTTTCGCCCCCTTTAAAGCCGACAATAAGCCGAATCTGAAACCTCAGCCACTCACCAAGCCCGCATTGCCCCAAGTAGGACGAGGAGTAGAAAATTACATAAAAATCGCGAATGTACGTCACCTGAAAATTGCGTACGGTAGTGTACTGTAGCGTACTGTTACGTAGCTTACCGTACTCTTGCGTACGCTAGCGTGAACTAGAGTAGCATGGCGTATGGTTGCGTATTGATGCGTCCTCTAGCGCAGTGCAACGTACGCTTCAGTACGCTTGCCTAGCCTACCGAACTCCAGCGTGGCGTAAAGACGCTTCCGTACACTTGCGTAGCTTACCGTACGAAAAAGGACGCTAAAGCACCCTAGTATACGCCATAGTGCGCCAGTACGCTACCGTACTCTGGCGTTGCCTACCGTATCCTACCGTACCCACCGGAATCACAAGTAGATGCGCCGTGGAGTAGACGATATTAAAATAGGCGAGCACCAGGATCAAGTACCTAAAAATCGGGTTACTGTAGGTTAAGGGATCGGCAAGAAAGGGGGCGTGGCCAGCTGTGGATTTGGCCTTCCTAAGCCCTTTAAACAAGATTTTCGGGCTTTAAAGGGCCGTTGAAGACAAAAACGGTGCGGAGCGCTATAGATTTTGCCTTCCCGGTGCCTTTAAAATCGATTTTCGGGGTTTAAAGGGCCGTTGAAGGTCAAAAACGCTACGGATTTTCCCCGGCCCTTTAAAGGAACAGTCCAGCCATAAAAAACTCAAAAATTACCGATAAGTGCCCATCCTGGAATTGGGCGTGGCCAGGATACAGTACACCAGGATGCCATTGCAGAAATAGCCAATGATGGAATTGACGCAGAGCAGCGTGTCGGCGAGAACCATTTTTCTGGCTTGCCGGTCCCTTTAAAATCGAATTTACAGCTTTTAAAGGACCATTCAAGGCAAAAACGGGCAACAACGTTGACGTAAATTCAAAAATTAAAAAATTGCACCTTCTAAATTAATTCATTATTGTTAGTATTAAATTTTGTTTTCAAAATAACAATTTAAGCGCGAAGAACCACTAAGTTTTCAATTTTAGTTTTCAATCAATATTTTTTGGAGACATTTTTTTAAATGATGTTTGCAAAAAATGCCCTAAAATCCATTTCTCGCCTGGTTTTTACGTGTGAATAACCTGTAGGTTACTGTAATCTAACGTATTTTTTGTATCGGGCAGGCTAGCAGAGATTCTTGGCGAATCTTTCTTTAATAGATGGTCCAGAAAAACTGCTAATTCCGTAACAAAATTCCGGGCGAATCCAAATTTTGACGAAACATATTTTTTTTCAAATTTCTGATAGGCCCGGCAAACTAGCTGCGGCCATTTGGGATACGGTAATCTAGCTTGAATTTAGAAAAAATAGGTTTACCGTAGCCGGCACGTCGAAAAATTCCGCTTATTAAATGCTATTAACGGCCGCAACGATGAAATTTTCAATAGATCACCACCGGTCGCAATTTTTTTTGAAACATTTTGTTTTTCTAAACGAATTTTAATATTTTTTATTTGTTTTAAATGCACGGATAACATGTAAATTACGGTAATTTATCATATTTTTAATTCTTCGGGCAGCTTAGCAGAGATTCCTGGCGAATCTATTTTTAAATCATGGCAGAGAATAATTTCCACAAACTGGGTAGGCAAAATACTGGGCAATTCCAAATTTTGACGAAACGTATTTTTCCAAATTTTTGAATTTGAGCGGAAACTGGCAGAGACAAATTTAGGGATACGGTAATCAGGTTTAAAATTAAAAATAAGGATTACGGTAGCCTGAGCCCTTTGAAAAATTCGCGTAATAAATGCTATTAACGCCAACAGAGATTAAGTTTTCCATAACTCGATGAAAGTCGCAATTTTTTGAAACCTTTTGTTTTTTTACAATAATTTTTCATCTTGATTTAGCTGTTTTAAAAAGATGGCGACTCAACAAATTGGGTAAACAAAATACCGGGCGAAACCAAATTTCGGTGCAACATATTTTTAAAAACTTTTTAATTAGGCCGGGAAAACGGCCAAAAATAATTTAGCATACAGTAATAATTAAAAATGAGGATTACGGTAGCCGTGAGCGCCTTATAAAGCCCATTTTTTGCTATTTTTAGGCAGTTATATATATTTCCTGGCATTTCCGGTTCAAATACACGTTTTAAAGGTCCATTGAAGGCAAAAGGGGGCGGGGCCTAGCTGATTCTGGCTAGCCGCCTCTTTTAAAATGGATTTCCGAGTTTTTAAAGGCCCGTTGAAGGCAAAAGGGGGCGTGACTTAGCTGAGTCTGACTTGCCGCTTCTTTTAAAATGGATCTTCGAGCTTTTAAAGGCCCATGGAAGGCAGGCAAGCTAGCAGAAAAAATTTAGGATACAGTAATCGGGTAAAAAAAATTAAAATTAAGGATTACGGTATCCCGGGGCGCCTTATAAATCCCATTTTTGCCATTTATATGCATTTATATATTTTCTGGCATTTCCGGTTCAAATACCAGCCCGCCTTTTTTCAATGGGAGCTCATATTTTGTAACGCGTGTTTTTGGGCCCAGATCTGGCTTTTTATTATTTTTATTATGTCTATTTTCTGCTCGAATAGACAATGGCCCCCTGCTGTCTAGAGGTGTCACCCGGAAAATACGGCTAAAATGAGGAATTCGGCGGATTTTTGGTGTTTTTGGACCAAAAAATGGGAATAGGATTTGGGCAGGCTAGCAGAGACCATTTGGGAGCCAACGATCGATAAACCGGCAGCCAGCTAAGCGAATGGCAATCGAGCAGAGAACATTTAATGGCGTAATCGATTTTCAGGCGCGGTTTTTCTCAATTTTGGGTGTTTTTTGGTGCCTAATCGATTCCTAAGAATCAGGCAAGCTAGCAGAGATTTTTGGGAACTGGAATTCGATAAACTGGCAGCCAGATCAGCTAATGGCAAGCTAGCAGGGATCATTTGATGTCGCAACCCATTTTCAGGTCCGGTTTTTCTCGATTTTTGCAGATTTTTAGCGCCTAATCGGTTACTGACAATCGGGCATGCTAGCAAAGATCATTTCGGAATGGAAATCGGTAAACTGGCAGCCAGTTCAATTATTGGTAGACTAGTTGAAATAATTTCATAGCATAATCGATTCTTGGCTTGGTTTTTCTAGATATTTTTTGAGATTTTAGCGAATTTGATTGGAGAATGCAAGCAATGCGATCGAAAAGCAAAATTCAAAACAACAAAAATTTTTGAAATTCAATGTTGCGTAAAACATCGAAATTTTACGAAAAACTTGCAATCCCAGAAGCCTCTTTTTGTGAATTTTAACAAAACGCCACTTAATTTTTTCACCTAAAAATTAGGGCAAGCTAGCAGAGATTATTGGGGAATTTTTAAAATTCGGCAATAATATGATCTAGAACTCTTAAATTAAATTTTTTAGAAGGACAACGGCGGACAGATTAATAGAATTTCGAATGCAGGGGACTACCTAAAAAAGTGAAACATAAAATTAAAAAATGTTTTCTGTTATAAAAGATAAATTTTTGCAAATTTATTAGTTCCAATCGATTAGGCCATTTTAAAGCGTTTCGCCATCATTGCCCGGTGTCGTTGGGCGATCGACAGAAGGTATTTCTGCTTTTCGGCGCGCAGGTTTTCCTGAAAAAATTTGTTACATAAATTGTATGTAAATACTGATCTCTGAGTCTTTTTTTGGGCAATTTCAGGAAATTTTAAATTTTTAAATTTCAGAAATGCTAGGTAGCTCGGTTTTTGCTGAACCAATTGTCTTTTTGCATGCTTCAGTAATAGATAAATTTTTCTATTTCATCTTAATTTTTTGTAAACTTGAATTTTGCTTTGCGGGCCCCTATAATTATAAATATTAGAAGAAATTAAAATATTGCTTTCCATAAAAAAAGCGTTTCAAAAATTGGCAATTAGCCATTTTCTAAAAGCCACCAAACCCAAAATATTTTTTCGTAAAAATTATGTTTCATCAATAAGCAATTTCGGACGTGTCTCAAACGCTTTAATGCTGGGATAAAAACTGTTTTACTCTTAAAACGGATTTTTTTTTTTGCAAGATTTCTAATCAATTTAAAAGTCACCAGTTTCCAGCGTTTTGGCCAATTATGTAGGCAAGCTAGCAGGGATTCAAGAAGAATTTTTTATAGTTAGCAAATTAAAAAAAATGTTTCAGAATTTGAAAACCCAGAGCCAGTGTTTGCTGTAATAATTGGGATTCGTTAAATTGACGATAATTGGACCTCGGATAACATTTCTAATTTCCACAAATTACTGCTAGTTTTTTTTTAATTTTGCATTCAAGGCGCCTATAATTAGAAAGATTGGAAGAAATAAAAATTATCGTTTTTAAAGGCGTGTCAAAAAATTGGCAATTAGCCATTTTCTCAAGTAAAAAAACTGAAAAAATTTTTTTCTAAAAAAATTTATGTTTCATAAATGAGCAATGCCTGGCGTGACTGGGATGTTATAATGAAAATAAACCGGCAACCATGGGTTTAATTTTAAATTCAAAAATAATTTTTATATCTTATATATTTTATTTGATATCTATTTTATAGTTTCTAATTAATTAAAATTCGTCATCTTCTAGCGGTTTGGCCAATTTTATCGGCAAACTAGCAGAGATTTTTGAGGAAATTTTCGATGTTAAGATTTCAAAAAAATGTTTTAATGTTTCGGAACACTAGTCCGCTTTTCGCCACAATAATTGGTCGTCCGATCCGATTTCTATCTCTAATATCCCTAGTTTTCTGAAATTTTTCTTTCCCGTGATTTTTAAATTTCTAATAATTTTAGCTTATAGTCCTTTAAAATCAAAAAATATTGGAAGAACGTAAAGCTAATTTTTTTTATTGGAAACAGGGTTTACATAAATGGGCAATTAGCCATTTTCCCAAGTAACAAAACTTGAACATTTTCCTGAAAAAAATTATCTTGATAAATGAGCAATGCCTGGCGTGTCTTGAACGTTATAATATTGGAAGGAAAGCTCCGCTTCGCTTTCCAATTAAAAATTATTGTACTTTTATCGTCTTTAATTAATTTAAAATTCGCCAACTTCCAGCGGTCGGGCCAATTTTATAGGCAAACTAGCAGAAATTTTTGAGGAAATTTTCGATTTTAAGATTTCAAAAAAAAGTTTCAGAATTTGGTAACGTTAGCTCGCTTTTTGCCACCATAATTGTGCGTTGTGAACGGTTTCAATTCTATCAGATTCTCAAATCTAACTTTTATTTTTTCTAAATTTCGCTTTATGATCTCTTGGAAGCAGAAAATATTGGAAAAAATTAAAATTTTAAATTTTAAATTAGAAAGAATTGGGGCAATTTTCCTAGACGGTCGAAAAACCAGGAAAACTGGAAATGTCAAAAAACGTAAAAAAATGTTTCGCAAATGTGCAATGCGACGCGAGTGGCGGACGGCCCAATACAGAATCGTTACCGATGAAAAAGGATTTTAACTTATAGCCAGATTCAATAAATTCACAATTTTTTTTAAGGTTTGTGAAGAAAATGTTTCAGGATTCCGCATAGCCAATTCTAATTTTATTTTGGCGATTTGTCCTTCACTGCCGGTGGCTCACTAACTTTACCTTTTGAATGTGGTTAGCAAGCTAGCAGAGATTATTGGGGAATTTCTGGGGTCTAAAAGTAGTAAAAAAATTCGAAATGACTTTCCCATGTCGAAAAAAAGTGTTTCACATATGAGCCATATGCAGCAGCCACAGGATCGCTTAATGCGTTTGGCTAATCCTCCTATATCCAAATCCTAAACCTTGTGATATGGGCAAGCTAGCAGGGATTTTTGAGGAATTTTTGGGTTCCAAAATCAGTTGAATCCCTCGTAGATAATTTTTCCGTTCTAGAAAAAAATGTTTCGTAAATGGGCACGGCGACGGAGAAATTCTAGTTTTTAATGGATCTTGCATGGATCAAAAACGGTCTACTTGCAAAATCAAGATTTTTATAGGCAAGCTAGCAAGGATTATTGAGGAAAATTTCTTAAATCTTTTTAAAATCATTACAACGAAAATTGTTTTTGTAAAAAATTTGTTTTGGAAATGAGTAATGTTTGGCTGACTTTGAATACTTCAATACTTCAATTAAGTCACCCAAGGCCATCAAAAGATCTAGAAAAATTTAAAAATATTCACATTACCGTCCCCGATTTTACGGGCAAGCTAGCAGGGATTTTGTGCAATCTTTTGGGTTGCAAAATCAGTAAAAACCCTAGAAAAATAGGTTTGAAAAAATTGTTACGCAAATGGGTGCCGTGGTGGCGAAATCTTAGTCTTTAATGGGCGCTCCAAACGCGTGGTAGATGATTTTGCGTCAAATTCACGGTTTTTATAGACAAACTAGCAGGGATTATTGCGGAAAAATTGCTTAAATCCTTCGAAAATCAATAAAAATAAAATATTTTTTTGTAAAAAATGTGTTTCGTAAATTAGTAATGTTTGGGAAACTTTGCGTGCTTCAATTGTTCGATGTAAGGTCCTTTAATTCCAAAAGCAAATCCTAGCAATAGTCGAACCCTTGAATTTTATTGGCAAGCTAGCAGGGAGTTTTGTGGAATTTTCTGGGTTGCAAAATCAGTAAAAACGCTAGACAATTTTTCGTTATGAAAAAAAATGTTACGCAAATGGATGCCATGGCGACGAAATCCTAGTATTTAATGCGTTGATAATCAGTTTATCTGTACCCTTATGATTTTTTTTACAAAAATATTCTGCCTGCGGCGCTGTTTAGCACTGTTTTTAAGACAGTTTTTACGTTAATAAAGCCTATTTTTCTAGAATTTTTCGCCGGCGTGCTGGTTTTCCGTTAGAGCGTCCGTTGTCCATCAAAACCGTCGCCTGTGGCGCTGTTTCTGTGATTTTTTCACCTGAATTTGAACATTACGAACGCTTTTTTCTGGGTGTTTTTAAAATCAGAAGAATCGAAAAATTTTTGTAAATGAATTATTTTACAAAAATTGTAAATGTTTCAAATTTTAGCAATATCTGGTAAGAATCGGGGGATTTTAATGGATGAACGATCGATGCTATTTCCAATTTAATTTTTTGCTAATTAATTATTTTTTTGCTTTTTACATTTAAACCTAATTTAAAAAGGTGAATTTTTGAAGTTCAAAATCGATTTTTCAATTTTTGGCAGTCTTGAGTTCAAGGTGCTGATTTTAATCCGCTGTCCCTTACTGTAACCGTTTTTTGTTGACCGTGGGATTTCGATACGTGAGATAGCACATTTTGTGCAGAATTTTTCGCTGATTCCGAATCCGTTTTCAAAAGTTGCGGAACCCCTCTAGATAAAAAGTTACAGCCGGTTCTCTACCCCAAATGACCGAAAATCACAAACTTTAAATCCTTATAAAAAACTCGTGGAACATTTTGTGGGATGAAATACAGCACTCCTAGGGGTAAAAAAACGTGCTCTTTCGAATGGGCTACCTCAGAAACCCGTAGCTCAAAATTCACAAAATTTCAAAAATTGGCCATCCAAGGCATTGGTCCACCGAAAAACTTTTTTTCATGAATTTTGAGCTACGGGTTCGTGAGGTAGCCCATTCGAAAGAGCACGTTTTTTTACCCCTACGTGTGCTGTATTTTATCCCACAAAATGTTCCACGAGTTTTTTATAAGGATTTAAAGTTTGTGATTTTCGGTCATTTGGGGTAGAGAACCGGCTGTAACTTTTTATCTAGAGGGGTTCTGCAACTTTTGAAAACGGATTCGGAATCAGCGAAAAATTCTGCACAAAATGTGCTATCTCACGTATCGAAATCCCACGGTCAACAAAAAACGGTTACAGTTAGTGAAATGAAAGCCAAAATTTCCAATAAAAATCTCGATAAAAAAAGATCTGTTTACTAAAATCGGCATACCTTAAACGACGCATTTTTTATGATCTAATTTAATTTAATTTTTCTACTTTTTCTCTGCCTTTTCTCGATCCACTTTTCAATATTTTTCTGGTAGAAATATGTTTCAATTTTTGACAATCATCAGCCCAAATTGTGTTTTTTAATGATCGATCAGGCGACGTGTATCAATAAAGTCTTTTAATATAAAAAATTTTGTTTATATTAAAACTGGGCATACCTTAAACGAGGCGCTGTCCAGCCAATTCAGCGACAACTCGTCGAAATAGTCCACGTAGGGCGCCTGAAAAAATTTTACAAATATAAAATCAAGTTTTTTTTGTGAAAATAATGTTTCATTTTCTGCCGAATAAGGGCCATTTTTGAAAACCTAATTCGATATCGGATTGCCCAGGAGATATTTTTACGATTTTCTATATAAAATTTTCCTGCAAAGTGGAATGTATGTAATTTTTTTCAATTTAATTAAACTAATTCAATTATCTAAAAATACAAAATTTTCAAAAAATAGAATTCATTGAAAAATAATGTTTCATTTGCTCGCCAAAGACAGCCAGTTTTTAAAAAGATAGTTGTATATTCACTTCTGATAACCGAATTTAGCATATCTGTATCTTGGGGTGCTTTTGCATTATCGGGGGGGGGGGGGGGGCATGTTTTCACTAAATATCCAATTTTTCTACTATAAATAAATAAGTGTTATTGAAGTGTATTTTACTATTTATTAGCGTCGCAACTTTATAAGTTTTCTGAAAAAAAAATACAATAATATCGATTTCCGAACAGAATTTCAATGTCTATATTTTTTGTTTAGCTTGTCATTTTGTTAAAATCATTTTTCTTTTCGGTTTAGCTTGTCACTTTTTGCAAACTAATGTTTCATTTTTCTGCCCAACGCGGCCGTTTTTGAAAAATCTAATCTCAAGTTGTGATTTTGCGATTTTCTTTTCGAGTTCTATTTCCTGAAAAATGGAAGTTTTATAAGTTATCTAAATTTAATCAAATTCAATAAAAATAAAAATTTGGAAAAAATAGAATTTTTTTGAAAAAGAATGTTTCGTCTCAGAAAGAAGTGACGAGAGCGCCTCACTTCTGCAGTCGAAACGAATTTTGTGTATCCATATTCTCGGGCGCTTTTGCGTTATCGGGGGGGGGGGCAGGTTTTTCTAAATATCCAGTATTTCTAATACAAATCACGGAAATGTTTCTAAACTTTTGTTAACAATTTATAAACTTAAAACGTGTAAATTTTCTATTCAAAAATATTAAAAATAGAAATTTTTCGGTAGTTTAAAAATTTAGATTTTGTTACCAAAATATTGAATTTTTACTTTTTAAATTTTTCTGGTTTAATTTTTTGAAAAATAATGTTTCGTTTTTCTGCCCAATCAGGCGATTTTTTGAAAAATCCAATTTTATGATTGCGCAGAGCATTTTCTTCGATTTTCTATCTAAAATTTTCCCGGAAAATAGAAGGTAAGTAAGTTATTTAAATTTCATTAAACTAAAAAAATACATTTGTCATTTTTAAAATGTTTTTTGTTTGCATTTTTTATTTTTTACGAAATTTTGAATTTTTTTGTAATTTTTTACAGAATTCTGTACGAACTTACCTCCTTTATCTCATCCTGCGTCAACGGCGGCCGGGCGTGGAAAACTTGGCAAAACGCCAGCAGCACGAAAAATACCAAAATAATCGACTTTTCCATACAAAAATCGGGTTTTCTTGCTGAAAAAACGGAGATTTCGAAATTTCTCAAAAAGCAAGCTAGCAGAGAACATTTAGGAAGTGGAAATCGATAGACTGGCAGTCAGTTTGATCAATGGGCAGGCTAGCAGAGAAAATTTGAGGGACGATGGCGAGTTAGCAGCGATTCTTTGCCCAAAAATCGAGCCAAATCACCTTCCGGGGCAAAAGGTCTCAGCTAGCTTCCCAGGTCAATTTTTTGATGTTTGGAATCGATAGACTGCTTGTCAGTTTAGCCAATAGGCAAGCTAGCAAAAATCCTTGAGGAAATCGGAACGCCAAAACCGATGTGACAAGATTGTGAAAGTGTGGGGGTGCCATTTTGCGGCGCGATTGCTCCCCGGTTTTTTGTGGCAATAAATCGACTCTATCAAATGGGTGGAGAGAGAGAGAGAGAGAGAGAGAGAGAGAGAAACAGATCATCAGCCACCCCGTGATCCCATTTATCACAGGCATCGATCCGATTTCCGCGGAGATCCGGGTGCGCGAAAGGGAAAACATCGCTATTTCGGGCCGGGCAGGCAAGCAGAAACCATTTGGGAAGTGTAAATAACTTAACTGGGCGCCATTTTAGCCATTCCCATCGAGAAATTGACCTAAAATCCAAAAAACAAAAAGTATTTACCTCGACGGGGATCGAACCCGGACCCTTGGATTGGTAGCCTTCTGTAGTCTGTAGTCTGCATCTAAGGATCGAACTTTGTAGTCTGGGTAGCAGTTTAGCTAGTCGACCTAAAAAATCCGTTCCCTATCCACTCAATTTCCTCAAAAATCGCTGCTAGCTGGCCCCTTAACTTGGTTCTGGCATTTCCTAGAGAATCTCTGCTAGCTAACCCTCTTTTCGGATTCTCACAATTCCCAAATATTCTCTGCTTGCCAGTTAGCCATTGCCATGCCCCCAAGAAGGGGCGGGGCCGCGGAAAGATACAGTAGGGGGGAAAGGGGGCGTCACTCGGCCAGTCGCGTAGTCCCATATTTGGGGGGCGGGAGAAGGGGGTATTTGTTTGTTTGGGGATGGAGAGAGAGCGAAGAGAGAGAGAGAGAGAGAGAGAGAGAGAGCACAGTCTAATCCCCTTGGCGCGAGCACCACTCACCCTCTGATCCAGCCCCGCCAAGGCGATGACGGGCCCCCCTGCCGGTTCCGCTTCCGCCTTGGGTTCTGGGGATTTTTGGGCTCAAATTTTCTCTGCTAGCCTGCCGATGGCTAAACTGACTGCCAGACTATCGAATGGCACTTTTGAAATCCTTCTGGGCAACTAGCAGAGACCATTTGCCGGAATACCTGATTTTACACGATTTCTGGCCAAAGAATCGCTGCTAGCTTGTCTTGGATTCTCAAATTTTCTCTGCTAGCCTGCCCAGTACCTAAACTGGCCGCAAGGATATCGAATGGCACATTTAAACAGACCTGGACAAGCTAGCAGAGACCATTTGCCCGAGGTGCCTGGTCTGGCCCAATTTTTGGGCAAAGAATCCTGCTAGCTTGCCTGAAATTCGCAAATCCTCTCTGCTAGCGCTCTCATTGGCTAAACTGACAGCAAGGCCAGCCATTCTCACTTTCCTAAATGCTCTCTGCAGGCCTGATTTTTAGAAAAAAATGGTGAAAAATGGTGAAAAATTCGCTAAACTGACATCCAGTCGAACGATTCGAAATTCCGAAATGTCCTCTGCTAGCTTGCTGTTTCAAAAATTTGGGAAAAATGGTGTGTTTCGTCTATTTCACAGCAAAGCCGCGTTCAGGAAATTGTAATTCATGTCGGAGATTGTCTGATCTGATTGATAGATTATTCAACATTCACTACGTACCATTTTGCCAGTAGCTCAGCTGGCAGACACTCTACGGATTCTCCTTTTCGAAATACTCTCTGCTAGCCTGCCTTTTCTGGTGAACGGTGAAAAAGGGTGTGTTTCGACTTTTTACAGCAGATTCATGTTTATGAAATTGTTAATAGGTCACCAGCACTGTTCCTTCCTCAATAATCTCTGCCAGCTTGCCAATCGCTAAACTGGCTGCCAGCCTAAAGATTCACACTTCCTTGATGGTTTCTGCTAGCTTGCTTTTTTGCAAAGATTCAAAAACCTCGCTTTTTCACATTGAAAAATCGTGTGTTTCGTCGTTTCTCAATAAATAGGCGTTCGTAAAGTTTGTCAATTCTTGTTGAATTGCTGTGTGATAACTTCCTCAAAGGTCTCTGCTAGACAGCCGATGACTTAAACTGGTTGCCAGTCTAAAGCGTCACAATTCCTGAATGCTCTCTAATGGCTTGCCATTTCAGAAAAATGGCGATAAATCGTGTGTTTCGTCATCTTCCAGCAATTACGCTTTGCCGGGTTTTGCAATAAGTGAATGTTGACTGCTATCCAGACTTTTTCAAAAATTCCTCAAAAATCGCTGCTAGCTGCTAGGTTTTTGATTCATTTTGTCCGCAAATTCTCTCTGCTAGCTTGCCCTCCTCCTCTGTACTAAATTTTTATGGATTTTCAGGATGTTCTACCCCCATTTCGAGCCCCAGCTCCAGCCGATCGAGGTAAATTTGGGAATTTTTGAATTTAATAATTTAATTTTTAATTTTTCTTTTACATTCTTAAATCATTTTTATTTTTGCATTGAATTTATTTGCTTTGGCTGGCGTTGTTTAAATTTTAAAATTTATGCATTTTATCCTCAGACGATTAACCCAAAAAATTTTTAGCCGACCTAGGCAAAAATTCGAAACATGAAATTTTTCCAAGTATTTTTTATTGATTTTACTATTATTTAAACAATTGCTTTACATTTTAATTTTGTCGCTTAAATATAATAATGCTTTTTATTTAATATAAATTTTGAAATTTATTGGTTTTTGTGGTAATTAGACAACAAGTTATCTGCCAAAATTAAGCCTAAAATTCCCCAATTCGCTAGGCAAAAACTCGAAACATGAAAATTCTCAGAAAAACGGAAAATAAGGAATTTGATTTTTTCGCTTTTCAAGGTTTTTTACAGGGTTACGGTCATCGTCGATTTTCACAAACTGTTGTCGAGGAATATTTGGGAGATCCGTATCTTTTAAATCAACCGCCACAACAGCAGCAATATCAGGATTACGGTAGTCAGGGTGCGTTTTAATTTAATTAAACAATTTAATTTACTATTAAATAATTAAATAATTCAATTAATATGATTTCATTTGATTTGACTCAATTTATATTATTTTAATTTAAAATCCATTTAATCTGATTTAATGCAATTTAATTTGGGTTAGTTTAATAATTCACATTCCAATTAATTTTATTAAAAATTGTTTTTTGGCCCGTTTTTGAAAACTCGATTTTGCCTTCAGGTGGCCTTTAAAACCCGGGAATTCGATTTTACAGTGATTACGGAAAGAACTAAAATTTTTGAATTTCCGGAAATTTGCCGGAAAAATGTGTTGCAATGAAAGGGGTATTTCAGCCGAATTTTGTCGCCGCAATGGCTGATTTGGCCTCAGTGGAAAAAATCTCCGCAATTTTTAAAGGGCCATTGAAGGCAAAACAATTGCTTGGAGTTATGGATTCTGACTTGCCGGTTCCTTTTAAAACCCGTTTCAGGGCTTTTAGATGGCCATTGAAGGCAAAAGGGGGCGGGGCTTCCGGATTCTGACTCGCCGGGCGCTTTAAAATCGAATTCTGGCATTTAAAGGGCCATCGAAGGCAGGCAGGCGTGGCTTCTGGATTCTGCCTTACCGGGCCCTTTAAATCTATAATTAATTTTTTTTAGATGGTCACCAGTATTTTGCTGCTGCTCCTCCTCCTCCTCCTCCTTCCATTCCGCCTCAATCCTCCCTCCAGCCAGCTCCTGCTCAAAATCATTGCTGGCAGTATGAGCACCAGGTTACGGTAGGTTTTCAATTTTAATTTTAAAATTTAAAATTTTTTTTTACGTTTTTCTTGTATTTTCTTGTCGCGGAAATGGCGGTATTGACAAAGCAAATTTTTGCCGATAGTCCCCTTTTTTTCAAACCGCATTTTCCTCCCAGATTAAACTTCTTGAGGTTACAATTACGAATCATTTAAACAGTTTTTAAAGCTATTTTACAACGTAATTAAGAATATGATTTAAAAATCTATAAAATCAAGCCAAAATAATTTTTTATTTAATATTGGGTTGGAAATCGTCTTAAGTGAATTGAATTTTACCATATTTTTAAGTCAATGCCGTCTTTCGAAACATGATTTTCCACTGGAATTTTAGAGCCACTATCTTACGGTGGGACACTACGGCATTTTTTGTATAGCTTCAGCTTTTATATACCCTATTAATTGGTCAGTTTTTAATTTTCCGGACGCCTTTTATTTTACACGCTCGATTTTCGCAAAAAAAAGGATTTTTCGTAAAACGGAGCTTCCATTGCCAAAGCGAGTTTTTGCGGACTGTCCGATTTACTTGAAACATTTAGGGCTTTTCTTTGGGAAAAAAAGCTGGAAGTCTGATCGTCAATAAACCCTTGAGCTGATTGAATTTCCGAACCTTTACCTGTCTCCGGAATTTTTTGTAACACTCATTTTTAGTATCAAATTTTCGTGGTTAAAGAAAGGTTCAGTTATTGTATAGTAGTATTGTATAGTAAAAGTAAGAAAGTAAGAATAATTACGATATACCTACAGTCTTTTTTAATAATTTAAATTCTATTAAAAAGCATGGGATTGTCGGTTTCAATTGCGCTTTCGCTCATCCATTAATGACGGCGATTTTTGTGAAACATAGTTTTTCTGGGATATTTGGATCCAGAAAAGTTCAAACGTTTTGTAAAAACATCGCTCACTTTCCCAAGCGATCTCTGCTAGCCTGCCCACAAGAAATGTGTAGCTTTTATAATGTTAAAAATTCGGCAGCAATATACATTACATACACAGCAGTAGCGCGCACTGGATTTAAGATTCTTGCTGATCCTTGGAATTTTTCTGTAACACTCATTTTTACTAGCTAAATTTTCGTGGAGTTAAAGAAAGGTACAGTATGAAGGATTACGATCTACATACGGTATTTTTTGGCAATTTAAATTCTTGAAAAAGCATGGGATTTGAACATTCAACGACGAATTAATAACCGCCATTTCTGCGGCTACAGTAACTTTTTGAAACATAGTTTTTTTTGGTGTATTTGTATCCAGGAAATTCAAACGTTTTGTAAAAACGTCGCGCACTTTCCCAAACGGCCATTGCTAGCCTGCCTACCAGAAACTTGTAGATTTTATACAGCTAAAAGTTCTGGAAAAGGATAAAGACCTTGGAAATCGGCTCGAAATCAACGACGAATTAATACCGCCATTTTGGCGGCTTCAGTAACTTTTTTGAAACATAGTCTTTCTGAGATATTTGGATACAGGAAATTCAAACGTTTTCTAAAATTCGCTCGTTTTCCCAAAGGATCTCTGCTAGCCTGCCCACCCGAAATTTGCAGATTTTATAAAGCTAAAAAGTTCTGGAAAAAGGCTGGAAAATCCGGTCAAGTTTGACATAAGGATTCATCGCATTCCTTAATCTTTTCTAGCCTTTGGAATTTTTTGTAACATCAATTTTTCATAGCCAATTTTTCGTGGACTGAAAGAGAGTTACAGTAAGAAGAATTACGATCTATATACGGTATTTTTGGTAATGCAAATTCTATTAAAAAGCATGGGATTGTCGGTTTCAACTGGCATGACGACCGGTGACTAATAACGGCCCTTTCCTGTCGGATCCTGGAATTTTTTGAAACTTCATTTTTTTACAATTTTTTGATTTTTTAAACGCTGATTTTATGCGGGTTAAAGGCGTAATTTATTATTTTAAATTTATTCAATTTTTGGTCTAAGCTTAAGCCTAAGCCTAAGTCTAAACCTAAGCCTAAGCTTAAGCCTAAGCCTAAGCCTAAGCCTGAGCCTAAACCAAGCAATATCCGGTTATTTCGATATACTAGGCCATTTTTAATTCAATATTTAAAACTAATTGCATTGCTCCGTCGATTACCCAAATAAAAATTTTCAGCTAGCGTAACTTTCAAGGAACATATTTTTGCAAAGAAAAATTTCGGAAAATCCCTAATTTACCCGTGTTATCGATTTTTAGTGTTTCTTTTATTATTTTTATTGGATATTTAGCTGAGATTTTAGGCAGCAACCATCTCCTCCTCGTCCCCGAGCTGCTCCTCCTCATCCATCGACGACGAGTTCGATTTCGTGAATCGATTGCCGCCGGATATTGAGAGCAAGGCAGGCTAGCAGAGATCATTTGGGAAATGGGAATCGGGGAAATGGCTGCCAGATTGGAAATTGGCAAGCTAGCAGAGACCATTTGAGAAAATTTTTTGCTTTTTCAGGTGTTCTACCCGCCCTCTCCGCCCAGTGCCCAAAGTTGAAAGAACGAATCCCTCGGAAAGGAAGGCAAATTGGACGGAAACGGACTCATCTTTGCCAATATCCAGGTGAGCCGCCGAGGCCACGCCCCTTTTTTGGCTTCAAGGGTCCTTTAACATCGGATTTCTAGGTTGCGACAAGATCTACACGAAAAGCTCCCATCTGAGGGCCCATCAGCGGTTGCATACCGGTGAGAATTCCACCAATGGTCTTTGCTGGCTTGCCATTTGCCCAACTGGCTGGCAGACTAGCGATTCGCATTTCCTAAATGGTCTCTGCTAGCCTCCTAATCGATTATGCCATCCAATCCAGACAAAAACTGGTTAAAAAGCTGTTTAGTTTGTAACTAAATAGATAAATTCCGCAAATGATCTTTGCTGGCCTGCCATTTGCCAAACTGGCTGCCAGGCTATCGATTCTCTAATCCTAAATGGTCCTGCTAGCCTCCCTATTCGATTATGCCATCAAATCCGGCCCAAAACTCGCTAAGAAGCTAAAATTCCGCAAAGGGCCTCTGCAAGCATGCCAATCACTCATCTCATTGTGTGTGAAGTGCCCTCCGGCTATTTGGCAGTTATCTACAGGTCTTTGGCGGGTCTTTTGCGGAATGCGTCTTTAGGTAGCCGCGCGTACTCAAGGTACTCGAGTGGGTACGGTATCGTATTTCACCCCTAGGCGACGCCGGCTACTGTTGTCTCTTTTGGGGAAGAGAGAGAGAGATAGAGCGAGAGAGAGAGAGGGAGAGAGGGGGAGAGAGAGAGAGAGAGAGGAGAGGGGGAAAGAGAGAAAGAGAGAAAGGCGGCCAATCGGTGTGATTGATTGGGGGGCCACTTGACAGCCCGGATATGCCCCCGGGCACAATGGACAAAAAAGGTCGAAAGGGGCTGGCTAGCAGCGATTTTTGGGGAATTTTCGCAACGGCAGGGAAGCGGAAAAAAACTGCATAATGTCAAATTTTCGCGATAAAATTTTATGTTCCACCTTCAGAACTCGATCTGGGATGTTTTCAGGGGCTAATAGCCAATTGATCTTAGTTTTTCTACAACTTCGTAAAATTCAAGCCGGGGACTAGCAGAGATTCTTAGTCTCCAAATTATGAGCATTACCGGAATCTCTGTATTTTCGAGGCCAGGGCAAGCTAGCAAAGAGAATTTGGGAAAATCGAAAAATTTTTGAAAATTTTGTGTTTCGTGTAGAAAAGGTAGGTGGGCATTTTTGGAGTGGCCAATGGGACGAAGGGTACTAAGTAAGCTAGCAGTGATTTTTAGGGAATTATGGCAAGGGCAATCTAGCCTAGACGATTCGTAAATTGCTAAATTTTCGGTTTAAAATTTTCTGTTTCATCTCAAGAACTTAATCTGCGATTTTTTTAGTACCCTAGTAGTTAGCAAGCAGAGATTCTCTCCCTCCAAATTAGGAGCATTACCGTAATCTCTCTGTATTTTCGAGGCCATGGCAAGCTAGCAAAGAGAATTTGGGAAAATCGAAAAATATGTCAAAATTGTATTTTTCGTGTAAAAACGGTAATCGGACATTTTGGAGTGGTCATTCATCCTCCGGCTGATGGTTTCTAATTAAGATAGCAGAGATTCTTAGGGAATTTTCGCAACGGCAGACGCGCGGAAAAATGTATAACGTGAAAAATAGACTTTTATGTTTCATTCCAAGGTGCCAATTTGCAATTTTTTACCGCAATAGCAACGATCAATCGACCACGGTTTTTTGGAAAAATCTTTGTCGTATTCTTATTCACTGATTTTTAAGCTGAAAATTTTCTCAATTACCGTATTTTTGGGGAAATTCACGTTTGGCAGGCTAGCAGAGATCCTTAGCCTTCAAATCATTGACGTTACCGTAATCTCGGTCTTTTCAAGACCAGGGCAAGCTAGCAGAGACAATTTGGGAACATCAAAAAATATTTGAAAATTTTATGTTTCGTGTAGAAAAGGTAGGTGGGTATTTTTGGGGTGGCCAATATGACGATCATATGCTGTCTAACCGAGGCAATTTGTAAAATTGATAAATTCTTGGATCAGAATTTTATGTTTCATTCTAAGAAGACCGTCGAGAGGATTTTACGATCCCAATGCCGCCTTTCGTACTTGATCGATACAAGCTATACAGCAAGCAATACCAAAAAGTATTGATTATTTTACGTAGATTCAAGCTGGGCAGGCTAGCAGAGATTCTTAGGCTTCAAATTATGAGCATTACCGTAATCCCCAGATTTTGAAGGCAAGCGCAAGCTAGCAACAATGTTTGGGAAAATCAGGAAAAAATATTGTTAGAAAATGTATGTTTCGGGTCAGACAAGTGATTCGAAAGTATCTAGAACAGGCAATCCGAGAAGATATGACGGCTGTTAAAAATTTAAGATCAGGGAATTCCGCGGCCAGGGCAGGCTAGGAGAGAGCATTAGCGAAAAATCACAAAAACTTTGAAATTTTATGTTTCGTTTTATGAAGAGAAACAGCTATTTTTTACTCGCCAATCCGCCAGCTTATTGCAAACCCAACCTAGCAGCAATTCTCACGGAATTTCAGAGGCTGACAGGCTAGCAGAGATCCTTTGAGGCAGATCCCCTATTTGTTAACTGCAGGACAGGGCAGGCTAGCAGAGACAATTTGCGGAACTGCAAAAGAAATTATTTAGAGGAAAAAAATGTGTTTCGTCTTTTGGAGGTAAACATCCAGTTTTGCAGCCTCCAATTTGTTGTGGCCACTCACGTTTCCAAAATTAAATGACAAATAAAAACAAATAACTGCCGTAAGTGGAGATTGCTAATTTTTGTATTTTCAAGGCCAGGGCAAGCTAGCAGAAAATATTTGGGAAAATCAGAAAAAGGCTTGTTATATGTTTCGGGCCAAAAAAGTGATCGGGATTTATTTGAATTGACAATTCTCGGAAGATCTTCCATTCATTTATCAACATCCAAGGACCTCGGCAGGCTAGCAGAGATTCTTGGCCCCCAAAATTCTGACAATCCGCGTAATCTCCTTATTTTCATACCCCAGGGCAAGCGAGCAGAGACAATTTGCGGAAAATCATGAAAAATAATCGTTAGGAAATGTATGTTTCGGGTCGGGCAAGTGATTGGAAAAATGTTAGAACCGACAATGAGCACGACACCGCATGACGACGTTTAAAAATTTAGCTTCTGCGAATACGCGACCAGGGCAGGCTAGCAGAGACGATTTAGGAAAGTAACAAAAAAAATTGGAGTATAAGGTTAATCCAGATGTTTCACGTAGAAAACGTTACCATCAATAAATTGCCAGGGGTTTTGCTCTTCAAGTTATTTAGGAACATCTGGGAGCTCGGGCTGGCTAGCAGAGATTCTTGCCCTCCAAATTATGACAATTCGCGTAATCTCCTTATTTTCAAACACAAGGCAAGCTAGCGGGGAAAGTTTGCGGAAAACCATAAAAAATTTTTAAAATTTATGTTTCAGCTCATAAGCGTAAGGCGTCAATTTTCGTCGCAACAATGCCTTAATTGCAATGGAAATTTTGAAATTCCATAATTCCTTGATACCGTATCCGGGCGGGGGGTTGCAAAGTCAGGGTAAGCTAGCGGAAACAATTTGGGAAAGGACCTTCATAAAATTCATGTTTCGGCTCAGAAAGGCGATCGGAAAGTTTTTTGACGGTTTAATGGGCAGTAGTTAAGGGAACGTGTTTAGTCAAACTCAACAAACCGCCAAGCAAGCAGAGATTCTTGGCCTGCAAATTACCATATCTACCGTAATCTCTGTATTTCGAGGCCAGCGCAAGCTAGCGGAGACAATTTGGGAAAAATAGGAAAAGGCGAAAAATCTTGTTGAATTTGTATGTTTCGAGTCAGAGAGATACTTTTCAAATTTTTACTGCAATAATGGACAGCGGTCGCCAAGCTTTTGTTAGGATATTTTTAATGCCGTAATCGCTTAATGCCGCTACCCGACCCTTCTTAGTTGGCAAAATTTCGTAATTTGCAAAAGATAATTTTTTGCGTCTGTTACGGGCGGTAATTGTATGTTTCGGGCCAGATAAAAGCTCAGAATCTTTTGTACTGGAATAATGAAGTTGGATTGTCAACAACTTTGCCAACTCGCCTCAGCAAACGGGCAGGCTAGCAGAGATTCTTGACCTTCAAATTACCTCACTTACCGTAATCTCTGTAGTTTCAAGGCCAGCGCAAACTAGCAGAGACAATTTGCGGAAAGTCCTGAAAAATTGGTAGCAAATTTATGTATCGTGTCCGGAAGGTAGCCAGTGGTTTTTTCGTTTCGATAATGTAAAGTGACTTGGCAAAACACACTTTAGAAAGGTTCGCAAGCCAGCAGAGCACGCATTTGCGGCAAACCGAAATTTTTTTTGAAATTGAAAAATTTGAAAAGTTGTAAATCTAGGTTTCGAGTAAGTGACTTATAACAAAATTTTTTAAGACGACAATTCCTGGAGGAATCAGAACTTTTACATATTTAACGTATTCTCGGTGCTGGCAGGCTGGCAGCGACCATTTGCGGGAAAAATCAGATTTTAAAAATTACATGTTTCGCGTCAAAAAGGTGCTTGCAGATTTTTTTTTGGCAGACAATAGACCGCAGCTTTTATTCTTGCTCGTAATCCTTTTGAAATCACCCTCTAATTCTTATTTAATCCTTAATTTTAATTTGATTCTTTTTTTAATTGGGCAGGCTAGCAGAGACAATTTGCGGAACCTCGTAAAATTAAAAAAAAATATGTGCGTCTCATAGACCTGATTGCAAATTTTGAGGGCCAGCAATAACTTCTTTACATCCAAACACATTTATTTCAAAATTAGAAAAAACTAAATCTTTCGGGTCGAGACCAGGGCAGGCCAGGGAACATTTGGGGAAATTAAGTTTGAAAATTCACAAAAAAATTTGGCAAAGAAAACTGAAATGTTTCGGATCATAAAGATCAGCGCTACTTTTCTAAGTCGGCAATCGTGATCGGCTTGAAATGGTTACCTAAAATTTTTGAAAATTGTTGTTTCGCGATATCAACGCCATGATTTCACCAGCTTAGACGTAATTTCTCGAGCAATGCAAACAGGGACGTAGCGTAATACCGGCCCCGGGGCCTGGCCCCCGAAATCGGCGGGGGCCCGAAAATTTCATAAGGGGGTCCCTTATGATTTTTAGTTTCTCAAAAATTTTGCTGCCTGCGGCGCTATTTTTTCACGTTTTTGCTGCTATTTGTAGAGCTAAGTAGCCTTTTTTCCAAAATTTTTCGCCTGCGGCGCTGTTTTCTCGTTAATTTTTTGAGTTTTCGGAAAAAATTTTTCAGGGCCCCCCCCCGAAATTTTTTTCTGGCTACGCCCCTGAATGCAAAGCAAAAAGTCATCAAACTTCAAACCGTCAATAACATCAAAAAATCTCTGAGAAATAGCAAAGATTCTTTAGGAAATTGAGTATCCCTCATGCGGCCATGGCACGCTAACAAGGGCCATTTGCGGAATTTTTTTTTTAAATTTATGTTTCGGGCCAATAAGTGATCACCCGGTTTTTTGGGTCAATAATCCCGAAGGAATGAAAACCTTTACAAATTTATCGTATTCTCAGCGCAGGGCAGGCTAGCAGAGCGCTTTTTGGAGCCCCCACCCGGCAGGCTAGCAGAGACAATTTACCAAAAAAATCGAAAATTTTGGAATTAAATTTGATGTTTCGGGTTATAAACGTAATCCCAAATTTCTCGCGTCGTTAATGATAATATGGCGTGACGCGAATGTTATCAATTTCAGCGAGAGTAGACTAACAGAGTTTCTTTAGGAAATTGAGGATTCCTGATGCGGCCAGGGCAAGCTAGCAGACGCAATTCGCGGAAATTGCATTTTTTTGAAAATTAATGTTTCGTGGTAATAAGTGATTGCTATATTTTTTGCGACAACAATCCCGAAGGAATGAAAACCTTATAAATGTCGCGTATTCTGAATACAGGGCAGGCCAGCCGAGACGAGGGCAAAAATCAGGTTTTAAAAAAATGTTTCGATCTACGAAGGTAAACGCACATTTTTTTAGCAGTCAATGGACAATCAGTTGGTTTTCCTTGTAAACCATTGAAATTCTCTATTTAATTCCCCCGAATCTCCGTTCTTAATGTTAGTGTTTTTTAATTGGGCAGGTTAGTAGCGGCAATTTGCGGAACATCGTAAAATTTTGAAAAAATATGTTTCGTCTCACAAAGCAGATCGCGCCTTTTTAGTTTCGGCAATGGGCACGTGTCTTTCCATCGGTACTTTTAATTTTCGATTAATTGAAGCTATAGATTCCAAGTCAGGGCAGGCTAGCAGAGATCATTTAGGACGTCTGAAACCCTAAATTACCGTACCCCCAGGTGACCTCCCTATTTCCGGTATGCGCCAAATGACACCCCGCTTTGAAGTGCCCGGCAGGGGGTGAGAGGGCGGATAATTGGAAGTGCAAACGGCTGTAAACAGTCGTATCTTGTAGGAGAAGAGAGAGAGGGGGCAAATATTTGGGGCCATCTCTCGAGATATGCATCTGTTTTGCCCTGGGGGTACCGCCGGCTAATCTTGAGTGAGTGGATACAGTAGCCAAACGGAATAGGGAACGCCGGTTTTTGATGCGAATGACTAAACTGGCACCCAGACTACAAGATACAATTTTTAGATTGGGGCTACAAACTACGGAAAACGTGCCAGGCCAATGACCCGGGTTCGGCCCCTTCCGGGTCCCAACTTTTTGCTTTTTGGATTCTTAGTCATTTTCTTGCTTGGAATAGCCAAACTGGCAGCCAGACTAATTTAATTTTAAATTTTATCCTAATCATGCCATGGAACCATTACCCTAGAAGAATTCGCCACAATCCCCGAATTTTCGGATTTTTCTGGATTTTTAAACCTGGAGATTCGTTTCTCTTTTTGCTCTTGCTCAACAATATTGCTTTGAAAAAATTATTTGTTTCCTCTAAATTTCGGGAAACATTGATTTTTTGGAAAAAATTATAATGATTTGTGTAGTACTTTAAAAAGAAGTGAGTTAAAGCAGCAAACGGCACGAGCTTACTGTAGCTTAAGTTAAATATATAATAATTACTAATGATAAATTAATAGTGTCGATTCAATTTCATTTTTAATTTTATCCTATCGATCCCATGGAGGGATTACCCCAGAAAAATTCGTCATATTGCCCGAATTTTGAGAAACATGTTTTTTTAGAAAGCTCGATTTTTATTTTTGAAACAGGAAATGCGCATTCTATGTTCCGAAACGGAAAACCTAGGCCTATTGCTTGTCAAAAACTATTCATTTACTCTGAATTTCGGGAAACATTGATTTTTTAAAAACTTGAATTGATTCGGTTACTTTTTTTTTGTGGATTAAAAATCAATCGATTAATTAAAGGGCCATCAGGCTGGAGCTTAATGTAGCTTAATTTCAATATTTATTGGTTACCAATTAGGAAAAATTAATCATGTCGAATTTAAATTTCATTTCAAATGTTGTCCTAAATCATCCAATGGAGGGATTACCCAAGATCTATTCGCCAGATTCCCCCCAATTTTGAGAAACATATTTTTTCGAAAACCCGATTTTTTTTAATTTTGGAGACGGAAAGCTATTTTTTAATGGCCATAACTAGATTGCTTGCCAAAAGTTATTCGTTTCCTGTAAATTTCGTGAAACATTGATTTATTTATTAAAAAAAACACATCGTTGGTTAATTAATAGAAACTTAATGGATTAATGAATTAAAGGTTGCCGCTTACTGTAGTTTAAATTGAGTGTAAGAATTATCAATAATATCTTAATTCGGGTAGGAAAGGCCATAAACATAAATATGCGTAAAAATGGCTCGCTTTGCGGGAGAAATGGTAGGATTGGGGCCAAAGAGAGCGCAACCAATTAGTGCGACGATACCCCGACCCTACTGCTAATTTTCTGAAACATTGGGCCGCGCAGTCGATTTTTTAGGAAATTTTTTTTGGAGAATAGACTTTCGATTTTCATAATTTTTTAGTGAATTTATTGGACTGTTTTATTTTATTTTTAAACAACCGATAATGATGTGGAATTTTTGCCGAATGTTTGACTCACTGAAGAAACAACCGGAATGCCCAACAAAAAATTCCGGACGTTTTAAGCTTTGTAGAAACATTGATTTAGAAAAAGTCGGAATTGAATTTAGCTCGTCAGGCAGAACTTACCTAGCTTCCTGTACTCTAATAACCTAATTTAAATCAAGGCGATTCTCGATTTTGGCCATTTTTTGACGAGCATTATCCAAAATGAAAATTACGCATTTTAAAAATTTTTTGAAACATTGGTTTTTCAAAAATTTTGAACTGATCTTAAAGGCGCTCTGAAATCTGGTCCACGGCCCCCTGCTGTGATTTCTGGCAAATAGCCAGATGCGGCCGCAACGCGACCGTACCGCGTGTTCTCTAGTCCCTGTTTGCAAGGGAAAACGCGTGAATTTCAGAATTCTGACGCTATTTCTGTAATCTTCATCCAATTTTGATCACTCTAGTCGTTTTAATTATTAAAATTGGTTAGAGAATCACCAAGATCGAGAGATTGAGTGCCTTACAAGGCGTTACGACATGTAATCGCTGCCCACTCAAAAAGTCGTTTTCGCCCCGAAAAGATTTCGGTTTTTCTCAAATATTTTGCGTTTTTTCGCGCCGAAATCACTTTCCAGGTACTTTTTGGCGGTAACCCTTTAGTTTTTTGACTAGCAGGTTCAATCTCCGAACACGCCAAATTTGACTTCTAAGCCCCTTTAAGGGCTCTCTCGGAGAATGATACTGTAGCTTAATCACTTAAATTTAAGCAGCTGCAACTTAGATTTTCGGGTTTTTTATTTTTACCTATAAGGCGAGCTGTGGTTTTTAATATTAGCCCTTCGCTGCTTCGAATTATTGCTTCCCACTTATTGACTATTATTTGACGCTAAAATTTGGATTTTTTAAAATATTCTGAAACATTATCTCCAAAATCTTGAATTAAAAATTGACGGCATATTTAAATCACGATTTTAATCAATATATTTTTCAGGCGAGCGCCCCTACGTGTGCCAGTGGCCAGTGTGCCACTGCTCGTTTGCCCGATCGGACGAGTTGACGCGGCACTACCGGAAGCACACCGGCGCCAAGCCGTTCAGGTACTGTATTTCGTGATTAAACTGATTTAAATTCAAAATGAGGTTTATATTTTGTAGTCTGGCTGCCAGTTTGGCTAACCCCATCGAAAAACTAGCACAAAATTCAAAACGCAAAAAGCTTACCGCGGACGGGGGTCGAACCCGGGTCGTGCAACTGGCAGCTTTTTCTAGCCTGTAGCCTGAAACTGGAGGTTGTAGTTCGTAGTCTGGCCGCCGATTTAGCCATTGCTCTATCGAAAGGTTGGTATAAAAATCAAAAAGCAAAAAGTTAGCCGCGGGCGGGGGTCGAACCCGGGTCGTTCGCCTGGTAGTAGTTTTGTGGTTTATAGCCCCAAAATATATGTTGTATTTTGTAGTCTGACCGCCAGTTAAGCGTTTCCCTTTCAGATGCCCGAGCTGTGGCCGAACATTCGGACGGAGTGATCATCTCCAGCTCCACATGAAGCGCCACCTGAATTCCGGCGGCGAGCCGCCCGAATTTATCCAATTTTAATTCAAAAAATGCTTTTAATTTGCACCAATTTTAATGTGATTTTTGTAGTTTGTAGCTTGTAGATTTAATAAATATTTAATGTGAAAGTCGAAAAATAAAAAATGACTGTTTCAAAAAACGGCCAAGATTGGCGATTTTCGGCAGGGAATAATCCAGTGGGTCTGTCGTAAATAGCTGTAATCGAATTTGTAAATTATGTTAAAAGGCATCATAATTTTCATAGGAAAATCTAGACAGCGATCGGCTTCGGTTCCGAACGAGAAAAATCCTCGCTAAAAATTGCATGTTTCGCGGTATTTAGGCTATCGGTCGTTTTTCCGGGAGGCCAATTTGAAGTCAAGCTGTGTTGGCATAGTTTGTTTGGGCAGGCGAGCAGAGATTCTTGGGGAATCTCAAGAGCCGCATGGCACGGGATACCGTATGCCAAGGCTCACCCAAGCCAGGGCAAAACAGCAGCGGCAGTGCGGGGACGGGCACAAAAATTGCCATAAAAATCGCATGTTTCGTGCCGCGAGGAACATCGGAAATTGCTGAATTGGCTAATCAGGGTTGCCACGGCGCGCAAGGCCCGGGTTCGACCCCCCCGTCCCCCTGGTCGGGCTCTTTGCTTTTTCCATCAGATGCTGTGAGTTCAGGGCTTTTTCGTGCTTTTTTTTAACAGTTTATCCCAGGAAGCACGACGACAGTATTTCTGATCACAATCGAACAATAAATGCACAGCGAAATATAGGGGCGGGGGTGTGTTTTTAATTAGTCAGCGCTGGTCGATCCGGGCGGCCTGTCGTTCACAGCACGTCGCGGCCAGCCTGTAAAGGAAATTCTTCACAGGGAGTGCCAGAAATGTTTTTTGAGCAACTGAGGCAGCCAAGCCAAAGCTGAGACCAAGCTAGGCCTAGACCTAAACCTAAGTCAAGCCACAGCCAAAGCCAAAGCTAAGCCTAAGCTAATCCTAAGCTAGAACTAAGTTAAGTCTCCGCCACGCCACGTGTTTGCTTTTTCTCTATTTGGCGAAATCCGCTAGTAGAACCCCAAAACTAGCCTCCTCGTCGGCCTCCGGGGAGGTAGGCGGGGCGGTCGTCTCGGACGGGGGCACGTATTCCTTTAGCGGGTCGTCGGGCACCACCGGGATCGGCGCCTCCGCCTCACTGCAAAATCGGGGAATTTTCACGTTTCCACAAGAATCCATGCTGGCCTGCCCATTCCTGGCTTGGCTGTTGTCACTCCCCTTTAATACGCAACACTTCATCTTTTTTGACGGAAATGGCTATTCTGGCCGACAGACTACAAAATACAACCGCAAAAAATCAGCCACCGTACCCCGGGCGTCAATAGGACCGGTTCGGAAAATCGCCAAAACCGCGTTTTCGGGTTTTCCAGTGGTCGAGTTTTCGTAGTTTGTAGCTAGAAGGCTAATTCGGCTTCTGAGTCGCTGAACTGACACGCAGACCACGAAATCCAATTGCTGTACCTCAGTCTGTACATAGGAAAGGAGCGGAAAATGTGCACACATTGGGATTGCCGATTTGGAATTGCGCTAACTTTTCGTAGTTGTAACTAGAACGCTAATTCTTTTCAAATCGCTAAACTGGCAACCATATTAGGCATTCCCATCCTCAAATGGTCTCTGCTAGCCTGCCCTGCCGCACCTCTTCTCCTTTTCCTGCTCCTTCTCCTCGGCGCCGCCATCTTCATACGTCGCCTCGATGTCGAGGGGGGCCGCGGCTTTCTTGTTCTTTTTCGGGTCCTTCGGGTCCTTCGGGCTTTTCGGGCTCTTCGGGCTTTTCGGGCTCTTCGGGCGTTTCGCAGTGGCGCTGAAAAAGGGGCGTGGCCTAGCGGGTGTCGCTGCTCCTTTAAAATGGCAGCAAAGACTCAACCTTCAATGGTCCTTTAAAAAGTATCGATTCCATTTAAGAGATTCCATTTTTAAAGGCCCTCTCAAGTCAAACTGGCTAGCATAGACCATTTTGGAATTTCCCAAATGATCACTGCAACCTTGCCCTCCTTGGAATCCACTTTAAAGGGGCAGTGACAGCAGAAGATGCTTCCAAATGGCTCCAAAATCTATTTTCAAAAATTTTAAAGACCCCGGTAAGACAAATTGCCTGGCAGACAACATTTTGGAATTTCGAAAATGATCACTGCTAGCTTGCCTCACGAGAAAATCCAATTTAAAGGGACGGTGACAGGGGCCAAAATCAGGGCGTACCGAGTCGCCCTGGGCTTGTTGCCCTTGGAGGGCTTGCTGCTGCTCGTCTTGGAGGCAGTGCTGGTGCTGCTGCTGGCCATGTTCTTGTTGCTGCTCGTGGTCGACGCGGTGCTGCTGCTGCTGTCCATGTTCTTGTTGTTGTTCGTCTCCTCCGCCAGCGACATCTTCTGGGTGGCCGACATCCCCGACATCTGGAGCGAAATTTCTGTCCGGTTTAGACTTAAAGCTTCCATTGTTTTTGTAATGGCTTAACTGGCAAGCAGGCTACAGACTACAATTTCCGGAACTGGGCTACAAACTACAAAAACCCTACTAGGCTATCGATCCGGATTCGACCCCCGTCGGCGCCGAACTTTTTGCTTTTTGAATTTTAAAAAAATTTCTCTATTTCAAACGCTAAACTGACATCCAAACTACAAACTGCAACCATTAGAACAAGCTAAAAACTACAAAAACGCCATTAGGCGAGTCTCTCGGGTTCGACCCTCGGCCGCGGCAAAACTTTTTGCTTTTGGAATTTTTAGGAAATTTCTCTATTTCAAACGCTAAACTGACATCCAAACTAGAAACTCCAACCATTAGAACAAGCTAAAAACTACAAAAAAGCTACTAGGCGAGTCTCTCAGGTTCGACCCCCGGCCGCGGCAAAACTTTTTGCTTTTGGAATTTTTTGCCAATTTTTCGATGGGGATCACTACACTAGCAGCCAGACTACAAACTGCAAACTCCATCTACTTACCGTCGGCTCATAATTGGGGCAGTCGATGACCATGTGGAGTCCCTTGAACGCCTGGTCGTCGGGGTTGGCGAACCAGCGCCGGCTCACGTCAATGGTCACCCGCACGCCGCGCTTGTGCTTCTTCCGCTCGATCGACTGAAAAAAAGAGAAAAATGATTAAAAAACGTTGAAAAGCAAAAAGTAAAAAATTGTGGCGCCGCGGGGATTCGAACCCGGATAGGAAGCCTAGTAGCTTTTTTGTAGTCTGTAGCCTGGATCGAACAGTTGTAGTCTGTAGTCTGGCTGCCAGTTTAGCTATTCTATTCGAAAAATTTACACAAATTCAAGAAACAAAAAATTTTAGCGCCGCCGGGAGTCGAACCCGGGTAGCGGACCTGGTAGGATTTTGTAGCTTGTAGCCCGGTTCTAGGTGTTGCAGCCTGTAATCTGCTTGCCAGTTTCGTAAATCCCGAAGAAATCAGAGTCCTGACTACAAACTACGAACAATTATACGGCTTCGAAACTCTTGCAGTATTGGCACTTTCCGAAACGTTCCTATTAACGTCTAGGGGTACTGTAGTCAGTTTAAAGGGATTTTGGGGTAAACTGGTTGCCAATGTAGCCATTAGAGTAAAAAGCACCCACATGGCGGACCTCGTGCGACGAGCCGGACGGCTTCTGGGGGATCGTCTCGACGGGGGGCAACGGGGGCACGTACTCCTTCTCCGGATCGTCGGGCACCACCGGGATCGACGTCTCCGACTTCAGGCTGCAAACGAGGTAAATTTTCGAATAACTTTTGGCCGTTTCCTCAAGAAACCACGCTAGCTTGCCCCTTCTTAGACTCGGCTGATGTCACTCTCCCTTTAAAACACAAAAAACGCAAAATTTCGTCTTTCAAGGCTGGAATGGCTAAACTGGCTGCCAGACTACATAATACACTAGCTACAGTACTCCTGGCATCCATAGAACGAAAACGGAAAATCGCGAAAATGACCATTTTCCGGGGATGCTATAGATAATTATTGTAGTTTGTCGCTGGAACGCTAATTCTTTTGAGAATCGGCAACCTGGCAGCCCGGTTAAGCATTCCCATCCCCGAATGATCTCTGCAAGCTTGCCTCTTCTCCTTTTCCTTCTCCTGCTCCTCGGCGCCGCCATCTTCATGCGTCGCCTCGACGTCGACGGGGGCCGCGGCTTTCTTGTTCCTCTTCGGGCTTTTCGGGCCTTTCGGGCTTTTCGCAGTGGCGCTGAAAGATGGGCGTGGCCTAGCTGCTGTCGCTGTCCCTTTAAAATGGCAAAAAATGGTGACTCAATCTATGGTGACTCGTGCCTTCAGTGGCCCTTTAAAAGCTATCGATCCAATTTTAGAGGCCCGCGTAAGTCAAACTGGTTAGCAGAGAACATTTCGAAAATTCTTAAAAAGTCGATTCTAGCTTGCCGCGCGAGAACATCAATTTTAAAGGGACAGTGACAGGCAAGAAATTCGAGCGTACCGCTTCGACTTGGGCTTGTTGCGGCTGTTGTTGATGGTGTTGTTGCTGCTCGTGGTCGACGCAGTGCTGCTGCTGCTGCTGCTGTCCATGTTGTTGTTGTTGTTCGTCTCCTCCGCCAGCGACATCTTCTGCGTGGCCGACATCGGCGACATCTGGAGCGAAATTTCTGTCCGGTTTAGACTTAAAGCTTCAGTTGTTTTTGTAATGGCTTAACTGGCAAGCAGGCTACAGACCACAATTTCCGGAACTGGGCTACAAACTACAAAAACCCTACTAGGCTATCTATCCGGATTCGACCCCCGTCGGCGCCGAACTTTTGCTTTTTGAATTTTTAAAAAATTTCTCTATTTCAAACGCTAAACTGACATCCAAACTACAAACTCCAAACATTACAACGAGCTACAGACTACAACAACGCTACTAGGCGAGTCTCTCAGGTTCGACCCCCGGCCGCGGCAAAACTTTTTGCTTTTGGAATTTTTTGCCAATTTTTCGATGGGGATCACACTAGCAGCCAGACTACAAACTACAATCACCAAGCTCCAGGCTACAGACTACAGAACGCGAAAAACTAGCCCAAAATCTACCTGCGACGACGGCGTGGCCATCAACGAGCTCTGCGTGTAGGCAATCTATTTTAGGCTTAGGTCTAGGCTTAGCTTAGGTCTAGGCTTAGGTCTAGGCTTAGGCTTATTAAGGCTCATACCTTGTCTTCGGCTTTGTCGCCGCGCCTGTTGGTCATGTTGTTGTTGTTTTGTTGGTCACGCATGGTGGTGTATGGCTAGAACTTCGCGATCTTTGGCCAATAGATGGCCCTTACTGGTGTCGACCAATGATAAAATTTTTAGCGAAATCGCAGCTTACAATAAAAAGAAAAACGCGAAAAACAAAAGCTACAGTATCCCTCTGGGGCACGTTTTAGCAAGCAATATTTAAATACCATAGAATCAGGTGAAAATTGGTGTTGTTGAAAGATTATCATTCGGAGACACTATTTACAAAAGATCAGCCACATGCAGCGAATTTGAAGGGAGCTGCGAATTAAAATGTAAAAAAAATGCCGAATAGTGAAATTTGTTTTGTCTGTAAAAAAGAATTAGAGCTTGAAAAATTCTAGGACTTGGCCATTACCTTTCTACAAATATCAGCTATTTTTCGGCCAAAAACCAGAATTTTCCCACCACCCATTCAAGAACGCACAATTTTCGGTCGTAACCAGCGTCAATAGTACAGTTGCGTACTCAAAAATCCAAAAAAAAAATCAAGTTGAGTTATTTCCCTATTCCTGACATATTTAAGCATTCTGGCATGGTAACGCACGGTGAAATATCTTTCCTTCTCGAGTTAATTGGGGACAAACTTGGACACTTTTTTTTGAGACACCCTGTAAATTCATGATGAATTACCGATAATAAATAGAGATCATTTAGATTCAATGAAATGGTGATCACCTTCAAGGTATCTGAATTTCCAAAGTCACTCGAGGCGCCTTGCCGAGGTTTTTCGACCACACCGGACTTCGGAGCTTCGATCGCCTCCGCCGAGACCTTGAAGGTCTAAATTCATGATGAATTACCGATAATAAATAGAGACCAGGGTTGAAAAGCCGCTTCGCGACTTTTCAACCCTGGCCCCGTCTGATCGCATGATTTTCTTAACTTTGCATAATTCTCGCGATTTTCGATGACAAAAAATGAGAAACGTTGCCTCTCTTCCCTTTTATAGGCTACCGCAACTTCCGGCGTATGCAAATTGTTTCCTAACAAAGAGAGTTCTCGATTTTTCCACAAAAAACTTAATTTTAACGTCGAAAACACCGAATTTTCGAAAATTTTATTAATGTGCGGTCATCCCAAGGCTATCACGCACCGAATGAGGTATAAAACATACCCCTAACTACTCTCCTTCTTGAGATACTGCTGGAACACGCTGACGGAAGTTGCATGCAAATGCACACACATACATACATACACACACAGGAACTATTTTTTTATATATAGTAGGATCATTTAGATTCAATGAAATGGTGATCACCTTCAAGGTATCTGAATTTCCAAAGTCACTCGAGGCGCCTTGCTGGGGTTTTTCGACCACACCGGACTTCGGAGCTTCGATCGCCTCCGCCGAGACCTTGAAGGTCTAAATTCATGATGAATTACCGATAATAAATAGAGATCATTTTGATTCAATGAAATGGTGATCACCTGCGTAGTAGTCGATCTGACCCAGTCATCGGAAAGGTCTTGCTGCTCCCCCCCAGTCGCCTTTTTCACCGGCACTGCGGCCGCCTCCGCCGACGGTTTGAAACTCTAAATTCAACTCAGATCAAAATTCTAGCCACCAAGCAAACCCACCTGCATCGTGCTGGATCGTGCGAGTGACTGGGCTGGAAAACACAGCAAATACTATTAGCCACATATGCAAATTGATGCATTCTGAAATATCGTGTGTGTGTGGATGTCACTTTCGAGGCCCAAATTGAGGGCCGTCCCGTGTCCAAACTGCCCTAATTCTCCGTTAATTGGGCGAATCGACCGTCCTCTTTTTGATGCCGTTCTCAGAATTTCGATAAAATAGAAATTTCGTCCTGGGCATGGCGAAGTGGCCTAGTCGCAAATCACCTCAAATCACCACAAGGATCCGGATACCGGGAACATTTTTAATTAAATCAATTTTCTAAAACACCTTTATCGATCAGCACTTTTTGAAAACGGGATGTTGCTCAGAATTTTTTTCTCTATCGAACTAGCAGGGTCCGGTCCCGAAACTCCAAAAGCACCTGAAAACGACTCCTTGTAAGTCGAGAGAGAGAGAGAGAGAGAGAGAGAGAGAGAGAGAGAGGCAAATATTTGGGGCCATCTCTCGAGATATGCATCTGTTTTGCCCCGGGGGTACCGCCGGCTAATCTTGAGTGAGTGGATACAGTAGCCAAACGAAATAGGGGCCGCCGGTTTTTGATGCGAATGGCTAAACTGGCACCCAGACTACAAGATACAAGATCTTTGAAACCCGCGCTACAAACTACACAAAAATTTTCGACCTCACCCGGGGGCTAACTTATTGCTTTTTGAATTTTGAGTATATTTCCCGATTGGATTATTTTAGCGCGGGATCACCATTAAAAATCGAAATAAAATTATTTAAATGAACAGCTAATTAATACGGCTTGCTTTAATTGCAAGCAATCGATTTTCAACAATCCAATGGAGGGCCCATTGAATGTGGAAAACCCGCCATAATCCCCGAATTTTTAGAAACATATGTTTTCGAAAGCTCGTTTTTTCTAATTTTTGAGTGGAAACTATTTTCTATAAATTTTGCCATAACTAGATTGCTTGCCAAAAGTTATTCGTTTCGTGTAAATTTAGTGAAACATTGATTTATTTATTAAAAAATCAAACGGTTGGTTAATTAATAGAAACTTAATAGATTAATTAATTAAAGGTTGGTGCTTACTGTAGCTTAAATTGAGCGTAATAATTATCAATAATATCTTAATTCTGGTAGCAAAGGCTATAAACATAAATATGCGTAAAAATGGCTCGCTTTGCGGGAGAAATGACAGGATTGGCACCGAAGAAACAAAATAATTAGCGTGCCAAAACCCTGACCTTACTGCAAATTTTCTGAAACACTTTTTTTCGTCAAGTCAACTTTTTTTAACAATTTTTAGAGAATTTATTTTAGATTTTGATAATTTTAATTAAGTTATTGGCCCGCTTTTTTTTGATTCTTGAATAACTTGTAAGCGAACTTGGAAGCGAACTTGGAACGGCCGATAAAAGATGGCAGACGTGTTAAAATTTCCAGAAACAACGATTTTTAAAAATTCGGAAATTATTTTAGGAATTTAGTGGATCGTTCGATTTTTGTACATGTTAGGAATCATAAACATTATTTTATAAAAACATTCAAGAAATTCAAGATGTCTATGATTTTATGAAACATTTATTTTGACGAATTCGCAATAAAACTTTCTGAAACATTTTTGCGAAGTTGAATTCCTAGAAAAATGAAGGTTAACCGAATTTAAGGTTTTTTGGCTTTTTACTTAGAAAGCATATAAGTATCTTACTGGAGCTTAAAAACCGCAAATTTTAATCAAATTTATCTTGGTGTCAGCGATTTTTGTTTTTAGCTTCGGTGCTAGCTGCAGTTTTTTAAAAGGCCGTCCGCCAGTCACTCGAACAGGCCCCATACTAGCTTGGCACAGTTTTTTTCGACCCATTTTTTATGACGTCATCTGAAAGAGCATGGTCGAATTAGTAGAGTGGGATGGTTTTGAAAGTTTTAAAAGTTTAATTTCGAGGTTAAAATGGGCCTCAAAGTTGCCGACATCCGGATCGATAGCCTAGTAAGGTTTTTGTAGTTTGTAGCCCAGTTCCGTAAATTGTAGTCTGTAGCCTACCAGGCAGTTAGGCCATTACAAAAAATTGAAGCTCCAAGCCTAAACCGGACAAAAATTTCGCTCCAGATGTCGCCGATGTCGGCCACGCAGAAGATGTCGCTGGCGGAGGAGACGAACAACAACAACAACATGGACAGCAGCAGCAGCAGCAGCACTGCGTCGACCACGAGCAGCAACAACACCATCAACAACAGCCGCAACAAGCCCAAGTCGAAGCGGTACGCTCGAATTTCTTGCCTGTCACTGTCCCTTTAAAATCGATGTTCTCGCGAGGCAAGCGAGCATCGACTTTTTAGGAAATTTCGAAATGTTCTCTGCTAACCAGTTTGCCTTCGGAGGACCTTTAAAATTGAATCGATGGCTTTAAAGGGCCATTGAAGGCACGAGTCACCATAGATTGAGTCACCATTTTTTGCCATTTTAAAGGGACAGCGACAGCAGCTAGGCCACGCCCATCTTTCAGCGCCACTGCGAAAAGCCCGAAAAGCCCGAAAAGCCCGAAGAGGAACAAGAAAGCCGCGGCCCCCGTCGACGTCGAGGCGACGCAAGAAGATGGCGGCGCAGAGGAGAAGGAGAAGGAAAAGGAGAAGAGGTGCGGCAGGGCAGGCTAGCAGGGACCATTTGAGGAGGGGAATGCGTGATCTGGCTGCCAGTTTAGCGCTTCCCGAAAGAATTTGGGTTCTAGCTACAAACTACGAAAAATAGAGCATTTATCGATCGATTGGATCAGCAATTCGTGATTTTGGCACTTTTCCGAATTGCACCTATTGACGCCTGGGGTACTGTAGCTGGGGTTTTGCGGTGGTATTCTGTAGTCTGACTGCCAGTTTAGCCATTCCCACCTTAAGAGACGAGGTTTTACGTTTTAAAAGGGCTTTAAAGGGAGGGTGACACTAGCCGAGCCTAGGAAGGGGCAGGCTAGCGTGGTTTCTAGAGAAAACGGCCAAAAGTTATTCGAAAATTTCCCTCGTTTGCAGCCTCAAGTCGGAGACGTCGATCCCGGTGGTGCCCGACGACCCGGACAAGGAATACGTGCCCCCGCTGCCCCCCGTCGAGACGACCGCCCCGCCAACCTCCCCGGAGGCCGACGTGGAGGCTAGTTTTGGGGTTCTACTAGCGGATTTCGCCAAAAAGAGAAAAAGCAGACAGTTGGACGCGTGGCGGAGACTTAACTTAGTCCTAGGCTTAGGCTTAGTTTAGCCTTAGTTTAGACTTCGCTTTGGCTTTGGCTGTAGCTTGGCTTAGGTTTAGGTCTAGGCCTAGCTTGGTCTTAGCTTTGGCTTGGCTGCCTCACAAGAGGACGTTTTTGAGTGTCGTCGGGACTTTGGCATGGGACCAAGCCTATCTTGTGCAGAATTTTATGCTGATTCCGAATATGGTGACCGTTTTTGCGGAATAGCCATTTCTCGAAAGTTATGAACGATTTAAACCTCAAAACAGCCCAAAATCGGCTACTTTCAATAGTCATAAAAGGCTTCAAAATAGGTTTTAGACAAAACTTTATAGTGCTTCTTGTTCAGAAAAAAATTCTCTATAAAATAAGCTACTTAACTCAAAAATGCTGGAATTTGGAAAATTTATGTGAAATTATGGACCTCCCAATTTATCAAATTTTTCCAACTTTTCAATGATTTTGGAGAAGATGGTCCATTTTTATAGAGAATTTTTTTCTGAACAAGATGTACTATTTGGTTTTGTCTAAAACCTATTTTGAAGCCTTTTATGACTATCGAAAGTAGCCGATTTTGGGCGGTTTTGAGGTTTAAATCGTTCATAACTTTCGAGAAATGGCTATTCCGCAAAAACGGTTACCATATTCGGAATCAGCGTAAAATTCTGCACAAGATAGGCTTGGTCCCATGCCAAAGTTCCGACGACACTCAAAAACGTCTCCTTGTCAGTTGCTCAAAAAACATTTCTGCCACTCCCTGTGAAGAATTTCCTTTACAGGCTGGCCGCGACGTGCTGTGAACGACAGGCCGCCGCAGCACCGCTCATTCATTAAAAACACACCCCCGCCCCTACATTTCGCTGTGCATTTATTGTTCGATTTGATCAGAAATACTGTCGTATCCTGTGATGTCTAATCCTGGGATAAACTTGAAACATGAAAAACGGTGCTACTTAATTATCATTTTAATCGTTTTTCCTGCCTATTTTATGTATGCTGTAGTTAATTTTCCCTGTACATTCAGCGGTGATTTTTGTGGAATTTTCGCGTTTGATGGCATACTAGCAGAGACTTTTTGCGGAATTGGTTGGCTAGCAGCGATTCTTTGAGCAATACCTAGTTTTTCGTGCAAAAAATTAATGTTTCGAACCAAAAATACAGTCGACAGCGTTTCCAAAACAACAATCTCGTTTTGCTCGACGACGAATAATAGCAATAGAGAAAAAAATCGTAGTTATTGGTAGGCTGGCAGGGATTTTTGAGGAATTGCATGGCGTCAAGGCGAGCCCGCAAAATTCTTTTTGGAAATTTCGACCGTTTCCCTGGCAATTTTTGGGGCCAGGAATACAGCAAAGACAATTCGTGGAAATTTGTAGAAGACCAACCGATTCGGCAGGCTAGCAGGGGGGTAGGCTAGCAGCATTTTAAAAACAAAATTATTCAAATTTTTGAGTTAAAATTTGATGTTTCGGGCATTCCAGGCCATTCGAATTTTTCGGAGGGAACAATTTATGATCGACATTCAGCAGGAATTTGTGGAATTTCGTTTTGCAGGCGTTTTATGGCATACTAGCTGAGATTGTTCGCGGAATTGGTGGGCTAGCAGAGATTCTTTGAGAAACACCCAAATTTTCGCGCAAAAAAATTAATGTTTCGCAGCAAAAAGACTGTCGGCAGCTTTGGAAAACCGCAATGCAGAATTCAATCGCGAGAGCATTAGAGAAAAAAAATTTATAGTTAGTGGTAGGCTGGCAGAGATTTTTGAGGAATTTCACGGGGGGGGGCGAACTAGCAGAGATTCTTTTTGGAAATTTTTTGGTCGCCCGTTTCCTTGCAATTTTAGGGCCAGGCATACAAGAAAGACAAGTTGTGGAAAATCGTGAAAATAAAATTGTTGTTTATTATTTATTTATACTATTCTTATATAGGACTCCATATACCGCTTTCGCACTTTTATGATAAATACCATCTAAAAAGAGAGCTCGAGTTTCGTGAAAAATTAGTGCTTCAAAAATTCTGAAAACCCGAAAAATCGCGATCGGATTAATTAACACAGAATCGTTTACAAATCTAAATGGGCTTTTTTAAGCCTCAATGTTTCAAAAATTAGCAAAATCCACAAATCTTGTACTGAATTAGCCTTGACCGGCCACGTGGAAGCGCCAGATTAATGTTCATAAAATTTTAAAATTAATTGAGTGTAAAAATTGGTTGTGAAGCTGGTTGAATTTAAAAATTTAGTGGCTATCAGGTTTCGAAACGTCGCAAAATATTTTGTTTACGCATTCTTACAAAAAAATGTTTTTAAAAATTTACAAAACCAAAAAAATTTCGAAAGGGCTTAATCCCGCATAATTTTCTTCGGGCACAACTCAACACCCTTTTTTATCGATTTTGACTACCTTTGTAGTTTGTAGTAGTTAGTAATAACTATAACTTTATGGTTGCTATTTTATTTCCTCGGTTAATCCCGTTTTTCCTTGCCCAAAAAACGTGCAAAAATGTTTCAAAAAATCTACAATTTAAAAAATTTCAATTTGAGTTAATCCATGTTGGCTCTTTCGTCTAATCGTAAGAGAAAAATCATTAAACTACCTTATTTCTAGGGCAATTCTTTAAAATTCAAGCCAGTCAACCTTAAGCAGGTTTTAATGGAAAAAAATACAATAAAAATGAGCTTTTGCCAACTTTTTTGGGGATGCCAATGATTTTTTGGTATCATTTCGCATTCGCCCGATTATTTTTGTAGTCTGCAGTTTGAATAAAACGAGAAGTTGATATTCCTACACAATAATTCATCATTTATAAATTCCTATAGAGTTAAATGGTACAAGAAACTTTAAAATACAAACTCTCTACTATACAAGACGCCAACGGTAGCTCTCGGAGTTCAGATTTCATATGTTTCAAAAAACGACAAAATCCCGGAAATTCCCGATTCGTCAATGCGTCTTCGTAAGCCGTGTCTCAGTTTTTGGCTTTAATTTTTTCGCGCTGTTTGCTTGTCATATTTTCCGGTCAGAGTATATTCTCCATTACGTGATTCGGATAATAAGAAAATCAAGAGGGCCAATCACTCATTAAAAATTGCATTTTCTTGCTTCAACCCCCAAAAAAAATAAACTTCAAAAATTGAAAAAAGGGTTTGGGTTAATTGTTCCTTCTCATCATATTTATATTTATTCTTCGGGAATGTTTTGGCGACTTATTTTGTAGTCTCTAGTCTTTAGTCTGGCTTGGCTTTAGCCATTAAAAACGTAAAAAACCATCCAATTTTCAAAAAGCAGAAAGTTAGCACCCGGGTCATGCGCCTAAAAAGTTTTTGGTAGTTTGTGATCTGAATCTGATAGCTGTAATCTGTAGTCTGGCTTCCAGTTTAGCCATTACAATCGAAAAAGCAACACAATTTTAAAAAGCAAAAAAGCTCGCCCAGGAGGGGCGTCGAACTCGGGTTGTTCGCCTGGTAGGTTTCCTGTAGTTTGTAGCCTCGATATAAATGTTGTAGTCTCTAGTCTGGCTGCCAGCTTAGCCATTGAACTCAAAATCTAAGCTTCTGATGCTTTAAACAAAAAGTTATAGGCTGTTGTAGTTTGTAGCCCGACTCCAAAACTCTGTCACTTTATTCCCATCCAAAAAAAATACAATAGAAATAATGGGAACTTGGGGGAATCGAGTCACTATATATTTAACGAGCCGTTAAAAATTACAAATGACAAATTACAGTATACCACCGTACTCCGGCGGAATCCGGCGGAATTCCGGAAAAACGGAAAATCGTGAAAAATCAAAATATGGAAATTACCAGAAATTGGGGGGTTACGGTAGCTGTGTGTTTTTTGATGGGGGATGTGTCTTGGAAATTCGGGGAAAATAAAAATATAAAAAACAGAAAAAAGCAGATCTAAATTATACAGTAGTACAGCTTTTGAGACGCCAGGCCACGCCCCTTTTCGGTTCATTACTTTTTAGTTGTTTTAAAAAATTAAACTAAAAATTTTTGAAATTGAAAAATGGATGAAACACATTTTCAAATTTTGCGGCGATTTTTGGGATTTCTCGATGGGAAAATGTGGTTTTTTTAGGATGAAAAGTACGGTATATTTTCTGTTTTGAAAAATTGAAAGGCTGAAAGATTTTGGAAAATGGAAATTGGATAAAACTCATTTTTTTAATTATTTTGATTTCTTGGATACGGCAATTATCGTTTTTAAGATAAAAAGTACCGACTTTATTTCAAAGCAAGAAAAAATTAAGGTTCCAAAAAATTGGCGAAATTGCAAAATCGATGAAACTTGTTAATTTTTGTTGCCAATTTTTGCTTTTTTTGATACGATAACTCTAGTCTTTTTAACACTAAAAAGTAGAATAAAGAAAAAGTGCGACACTAAGGTAAACCCCAATTTTCCGGGGTTTGTATAAATTTGAAACATTTTTTCCGGAACCGGTTTTTGTAGCTTTCAGTTTTATTTAGGGTTTTTTAAAATTCGCAAATTTGTAATTTTAAATTTGATTTTTGAATTTACGATACGCTAACTGTCATTTTTCATAAATTCAGAGCGAGGAACTTAAGAAAATTAAATTGCTGCTGCCAAATCGTTCTGAATTTCCAAAAAAGCTAAAACCCATTTTTTTCAGTTTTTCGGAAACAATTTTTTCCGCCTTTTATCTACCGTAATCTTTTCTAATTTTCCGAAAATTATAAAAAATTACCAGCACGCCGAAAATGTCGATTAACGCTGTCGAAGTTTTTTTGGATTCTGTCAAACATGAAACATCATTTTTTCAAAACATTTTTTTTGTCTAATTCCAAAAATTTTTCTGCTAGCCTCCAAAAAGGGGCGTGGCTTCCGGAAAGGGGGCGTGGCTTGTAAAACTAAAAAAAATGGGGAAAATCAATACAAAAATGAGCTGAACATGTGAACCATAATAGTGGGGGGAGGGCCGGGAAAGAAAAAAAATCAAAAATGACAAATAGGAGAGAAAAACGAATGATGGGCGAATGGCAGGGCCGGGGTTACGGTATCGCGGGTACTGTAGACTACTGTAGGCTACTGTAGGTGAAAAAAATTACAGTTTCCCGCAAACGTAAAAAATCGAATTTTTCGGGTTACTCTACTTTTTCCTTAGCTTTTCTAATAACGGGGGTCACTGTAGCTATAGGGGGAGCAAAAAAATGGCGATATATATTTTTACAGTAAGAAAATCAAAAAAATTTCATTTTTCGTGTTTTTTACAAAAATATAGAATTTGGTTTTTTCCATTTTTCTTACTGTAAAAAAATTACAAAAAACACACGAAAAAATTGATAAATACACACACGCCAATTCGAGGGCGACTACGCGGGGTTACAAAGTACACGAAAAAGAGGCCTGTCAGCAGCCAAAAAACAGGAATTTTAAAGGGCCGTTGAAGTGGTGGATCTTACCTTCAACGGGCCTTTAAAAGTGGAAAATTGCGGTTTCTATTTCTTCGAGGCGGGCGGGGCTCCACCGCTTGACGAGGACGTCTTCTTGACGGCGCCCGGGCTCTTGTCGCCGCCCGTCACTTCGGACGTCTGGAAATTGGGGTTAAATGGTCTCTGCTAGCTTGCCAGGTCTAAAAAACTCTGCTAGCCTGCCCATTCTGTAAACTGTCAGCCAGGCTACCGATTACGACATCAAAACATTTCACCGGGCAAGCTAGCAGAGGCCATTTGCCTGATCGGCTGATCTGGCCGGGCGCCGAGGATTAAATGGTCTCTGCTAGCTTGCCCTTCCCTAGAAATTAATGCTATCCTGCCCATTCCTGAAACTGTCATCCAGGCTATCGGTTACGACATCAAAATATTTAAGGGCAAGCTAGCAGAGATCGTTTGCCCGAGGTATCTGAATTTGGGCCTTTCGGAACAAAGAATCACTGCTAGCTCGCCCCTCCAAAGGCAAATTGCCTCTGCTAGCTTGCCGTTATCTTAACTGGCTTCAGCTTAGCGATTCACGCTTCTCAAATCCTACTAGATATAAAAAAATAGTGTTTGTGTGTGTGTGTGTGTGCATTTGCATGCAACTTCCGTCAGGGTGTCCAGAGGATATCTCGAGAGGAGATGGGTTTGAGGAGGTGTTTGATACGTCATTAGATGCGTAAGGGGCTGGAGATGACTGCACGCATATCAGATTTTGTAAAATATAATGTTTTCGAAATTAAAATTAAGTTTTTCTTAAAACACTCCGACAATAAATGAATAAATGTTAGAATAAAATTAGCATACGCCGGAAGTCGCTGTAGCCTATATAAAGGTCCAAAGGGAGCGTTTTTCATTTTTGTCATCGGAATTGGGGCACAATATGCAAAACGAAGAACATCATAGGGTTAGATGGGGCCTGGGTTGAAAAGTCGCGAAGCGGCTTTTCAACCCTGGTTGTTACTAATTTTCCCCGCAAAATAAAAACTTTATAAAAAACATGAAACTTTTGATTTTAAACGAATTTTTCTCCGGCTACAGTAACCCATTTTAAACTTTTAAAAGCGCCATTTTGTGCAGAATTTTGCGCTCTATCCAATGGCACTTATAACATTCCATGAAAAATTAAAATACCGTACCTTGTTGCCGATGAAAGAGGTGAGCGGGGGTCCGGTGAGTAACAATTTTCCGTCGGCTTCCTCTCCGCCGGCCAGCTCAATAGCTTCCAATCGTTTCCACAGTTCTTCGCGGTCCTTTTCCCGTTTTCGCTCCCTAAAATGCCACATGTAATTTTTGAGATTTTAAAGGGCCCTGCAAGTCAAAACCTCCATAATGTTAAACCCTCTTTTGACTTCAATGGCCCTTTAAAAGCCGAAATCTGGACTTTAATGGCATTGGAAAATCAAACTGGCTAGCAGAGACCATTTTCGAATTTCCTCAAGGATCCCTGCTAGCTTGCCGGGTTAGTGAAACCGAGTTTAAAGGGATCGGCAAGCCAAATCCGTGAGCTTGTTGCCTTCAAAGACCCTTTAAAAGCTGAAGTTTCGGTTCTTAAAGCGCTGATAAGCCAAACTGGCTAGCAGAGACCATTTCGGAATTTCCTCAAGGATCTCTGCTGGCTTGCCGAATCTGCAAATCGATTTTAAAGGGACTGGTAAGCCAAAAATCCATAAGCCTCACTTCTGGCGCTCCATCTTATATGTGCTCGTCAACTCGTCGAACAGCTTGCCATTCATCTCCATGAACGTCTTCAGCACGTTGTAGACCAGGGCAACGATCGTCTGAAAAAAATGTGGTTTGGGTTTTTGAAAACAGATGTTTCAAAAAATCTTAAATCACAGAAATTGTTAAAAACTTATTAAACCACATTGAAGGAATAAAAACACGAGTGATCGAATTTTTTTAGGCGTTTCTAATTAAAATTTGGGTTTCCTCTATTTTACTTTTTTTAAAAAGAGAATGAACATTTTAACCCTTGAAAAATCCAGGAAAATGCATGTTTCATCAATCCTTAAGGCCAAATTTTTTTCTGGGATTTATTGTAACCTTGGTTCCTCCTTCAAAAATCGGGTTTTTGGGCGTTTTTTAGTTGGATTTAGTATTTTTTAACAATTTGATTGAAAGCGATGCGGATTTGATAACTATTTTTGTTTCCGAATTTCCGGTTTTGAAGATAAATGTTTCAGGAAATTTTAAAAGTAAATAAAAATTCATTGGCCGTAATCGTATTTTTTTTGCTTTGTAGCTTACTTTCTTCTGTGCTCTTTTCGGGAATTTGTTAAATTCACGTTTTAATAATTATTTTGTTGTTTTTTTTTAATTGTTCTTGCGCTAGAAAGCACAAAATATTTGTTTTGAAGCTGATTTAATTTTTTTTGCAAAATAATTTTTCATTTTTGCAAACAAATTTTGCAAATTTTTCGCTCTTTGTAGTTTGTCGTTTGTGGTTTTTACCTGATTCCACGCCTTCTCAATTTTTGAGCGACTGAAATTTAATTTTTTACCAAAGAAATGTTAAAAATTGAATGTTGCTTAGGATTGCCGGCTACAAAAATTCTCATGAATCGGTAATAAGATTTATATTATTTTTTATTTTCTATTTCGGCTGATTCATTTTTTCTATTTTTATTGTCTATGCTGGTAGGCAGTCTATAGTTTCTAGTCGTTAGTTTCGCGTTTGTAGTCTGTGTTCTGTAGTTTCCGGTGATAATGCTATTTTGTAGTTCGTAGCCTGTTTCTCGCTTTTTGTAGTTTATATATTTTGTAGTCTCACCTGGTTCCAGTGTTCCTTGGAGATCCTGTAGAGTGCGGGGAACATAATCGGCATCACGTGGGCACTCGTCTCCTCTATCAACGACAGAATGTACTCGTTGTTCCAGAAGTACAGCGCCCGTTCCGCTACCTGAACAAAAATGGGGATTAAATGGCCTCTGCTAGCTTGCCCAGGCTTTTGAATAGCTAAACTGGTAGCCAGACTACAAAATACAACCTTTAGAATGAGGCTACAAACTCGAGAAATTTTATTAGGTGAACGACCCTGGTTCGACCCCCGCCCGCGGCAAAATTTTTTGCTTTTTGAAATTTGAGCTGACTTTTCGACTGAGATTGCTAAACTGCATGCCATACTACAAAGTGCAACCCTTAAATCTGCGTTACGAACTAATGAAACGCTATAAGGTGAACGACCCTGGTTCGACCCCCGCTCGCGGCAAACTTTTTGCTTTTCGAAAATTTAGTGGATTCTTCGCTTCGGATGGGTTAACTGACAGCCAGTCTACAAGGTACACCCCTTAAATCGAGGCTACAAACTTTAGAAACTTGAAGTAGACAAATATTTACAAAAGAATAGTAAAACAAAAAGAAATACATACAAAAGAAAAAAAAAGAAAAGAATGGTAATCAAATGAATATGATGATTCTGTGGGGTTTAATTGGCTTGTTTTTCAAAGGATATGCTTAGAAAATTGACCTATAGGATCCAAATTCCTCAAGGATCCATGCTAATTTGAAATTACGCAACGGAATGGGGGAAACTATTACCGTGATAGTGTTGCCCTGCTTAGCTCGATTTTTCGAAACATTAATTTCACAAGATCATGGAAAATGTTTCATCAAACAGAACACAAAAAAAATGAATAAAACCTCGCTTTTGACAATGACAAAACGACTACCGTTGACTAACATCATTTTTCGCGCGGTAAGCCGCAAATTTCTCGAAACATTAATTTTTAAAAGCACGAGAAATATTTCATTAAACAGACCAAAATAAAATCTGAATCGCACCTCGCTTGTAAAAATGAAAAATCGGCTACTGTAATCGAAAAAATCACTTTCAAACCAAAAAAATAAGAATTTCGGAAATTCGAGGCGTATCTATCGATTTTTCTCAGTTACCGTAATATTTATCTTTGTTTTTGAAAGGACAATTTTGCTCAGAATTTCCGGCTCTATCATACGTCATACTGGTCAATTGGAAATTCCCCAAATTGCCTCTGCTAGCCTTCCTGAGAGGGAAAATCAAAAAAAGGACCTACCACATAATCCCGAGATTTTTGAGAGTTTAATTCGATAATTTTTCGAAACATATTTTTAGACGTAGTCTTAAAATTTCTGATTCCCAAATTCCCCCAGCTAGCTTGCCTGGAAATGGGGGCTGCTGACGCATTTGGCGAGCTGCTTGAAGAGAGGGTCGATGATCTTCTTGAACTGCTCGGGCTCGATGATGTCCAGGATCTCTTCGACTTCGCCAAGGAACATCACCTCCTGAAAGGAATCTAAGTTAAATACAGGACTATAAAAATAAGAAAAAAAATCGTTTTCTAAAAAAGTCTTTCAAAATTTCAGATGAATTATTGCTTAAAAAATTGCTTTAAAAAGATTTACTAATCAATGGTGAGCGGAATAATCAATTAGTTCAAAAATTTCGGCTCTAGCTATTGCGGTGAAACATGTAATCTTTTTTATAAAAGAGGCAAATTCATCAATTTAAATAACTTTCGTTTCATTTGATTTAAACGTGAATTTAATTGGCGAACAATCACTTTTATTTTGAGGATTTTATAAATTTTGAGTTGTTGCTCTTTCCAATTCCTCCGCCGTTTCCTAATCTCGTAAAATTTGTAAAAAAAGACGTTTTAAAGGCACATTGACGGCAAAAATGGGCCGTGCTATGGATTTTGCTTTGTTCGCGGATTTCCAATATTAAATTGAAAACGTTGGAATAAATTAAATGGAAGAATTGACATCAGAAAGAGATGTTTCAAAATTTTCAGGGAATGCTTTTGGTTGCGATTTGGTAATCAGGGACACGCTCTTTTTCGCGGATTTGCCTTCAATTTCTTTCCTTTTATTGTTTTTTTTTGCGACCTGCACTTTCTAATTCCTCCCCTTCCTAATCTTCTAAAAGTCGTCAAAATTGCGCTCTTAAAGGACGAGTAAAGGCAAAAATGAGTCGCATTATGGATTTTGCCTTGCTCGCGGGTTTTTGCCAAAAACAAACCGTTAAAAAATTAAATCAAAATTAAAATAAAATAAGTGAAAACCTTAAATAAAATTTTCGTCGCTTTAAAGGCCCATTGAAGGCAAAAAGCCACCGACCTTGCTGGAGCACGTGCGGGGCCAGAATTTGAGCAGGGCATCGAAAACCTGCGGCGTCAACGTCGAGTCCTTTTCGATGAATTGCACCACGCAGTAGGCCAGCTGAAAAAGGGGGTATTTGTCATTTTTCTTTTTTTTCATTTTGCTGAAAAATGCGCGGAATAGTCAAACTGACATCTGGCTAATCGATTGACAATAAAAATAAACCGGGGCAAGCTAGCAGTGATCATTTGCCGGGAACTAGATTGTGGATAAGGATTGGACCATTTCCAAGGATTTTCCTATCGTAATCGATCCCAATGATCTCTGGTAGCTTGCCATTAGTCGAACTGGCAGCCAGATAATCGATTATCATCAAAAAAAATGGCCCGGGGCAAGCTAGCAGGGACCATTTGCCCGCATACCTGTTTTTAGTCGATTTTCATGTCGTAATCGATTGGAACACCAGGCTTTGAAGCGGCAAATGGTCTCTGCTAGACTGCCCCCACTCGCTAATGGCCTCTGCCAGCCTACCTGAGCATGATATAGCGAGAGACACCGGGGTTTGTGCAGCGGGAGCAGCACCTTCACCAGGAACTGCTTGTGCTCGGCCTTCAGCGGCAGTGCGAACCCGTTGATGATACTGAAATTTCGATATATTGGTTTGATTGGCTAAATTGGCAGCCAGTCTACAGAATACAATCGTTGTGTTCAGGCTACAGACTACAAAGAGCCACTAGGCCAACGACCCGGGTTCGAGTCCCGGCCACCGTTAACTTTTTGCTTTTTGAAATTTAGATAGATTTTTCGATGGAATGGCTAAAGTGGCAGCCAGGCTACAAACTCCACTCCCTAGAACACAGCTACAAACTACGAAAAATCTGTTAGACGAACGACTCGGGTTCGACCCCCGGCCGCGGCAAACTTTTTGCTTTTTGAATTTTAGATAGATTTTTCGATTGCAACCGCTAAACTGGCAGCCAGACTACAGACTACAAACAAACTCAACCACTCACCTCCCCAAAATCTCGAGCAACTCGCCGACCCCGTTGAACGACTCGGTCTCGTAGACGAACCTGCAAAAACGATTGTAATTTTCATTTTTGGATTGTATAATTTTGTTAATAATACGAAATCTCGTTTAGAAGACTGTAAAAATGCCAAAATTAAGATATTCTTCACAAAAAAAATTTTTCGAAAATTAATGTTTTGAAGACTTGTGTGTATAAGTATTGCTTCGGAGAATTAATTTAGGCAACTTCTCATGTGTTCTTTCTAAAACAGGTTTACTGACGCTTTCTTTTGTAACAAGGGGCCTTTAAAAATCAGAAAAATTCCGATTTCAAAGGTCCAGTCAAGACAAAAATCAGATTCCTGTAAAAAATTTGAACTTGATGTTTCAAAAATTGCATTTCCCCGCTTTTGGTATTCACTAATTTTCCTAGGTTTTCTTTTGGAAATTTTGAAACGAATTGCATCGTTTTCTTGAGGAGTCAAATCCGTTAACAAAACAATTGAAAAAATGAATAATTCATGTTTCAAACATTTCCAAAAACGAGTGTTTTTGCTGGCAATTTATTCCGTCTGTTTCCCTAATTTAAAAACCCTGACCTTTCAAAACAACCCTGCAGTTTTAGAAAAAAAGACCTGTGAAAGTTTTCTGGGTTCCCGGTCCCTTTAAAATCGTTTTCGGACAGTTTAAAGGCCCGTGGAAGGCAAAAGGTCCCTGTTGAGCCAAATACTACAAAAAACGAAATGTAATGTAAAAAAAACGATGTTTTAGGAATTTTTGGTATTTCGCATTTTACGCGGGATTTAATAATTGGACATTTTGTATCTGCGCTTTTTTTCCACAAGGGGACATGCCATGGATTCGGCCTTCCCGGCGCCTTTAAAACCAATGTCAATGCTTTTGATAGGAACATTGAGCGCACAAAAAATAATGAGAAACTTAATGTTTCGAAAAATCTTGGGAATGCGCGTTTATGGTGGAGGCCAGTTTGTCGAATTGATATATTGTGGATATTTTCGAAAAGAAGTCCAAATCGAGGCTATGCATTCCGTCCGTCAGAACGCCTTTAAAATTTGGATTTTAATATTTTAAAGGGCCATTGAAGGCAAAAACAGGCAAAACAATCTTTCCCAAAAATATTGGAAAAATCAATGTTTCGAAAAGTTACGGGAACTCGCATTTTTGGCTGAATGTAATTTCTTCTGTTTTTTGGTTGTACAGTGAGAGCCGGCTTGGCTAACGAGCCTGCTTAGATCTTTAAATGGTTTGCTTATGCGTTTTAAAGGCCCACAGAAGGCAAGAAGAGTTTTTATGAAGCTCGACATTTCCCAAAAAAATAATCGGAAAATCAATGTTTCGAAAGATATTGGGAATTGGCGTTTAGAGTGGAGGCCAGTATGGAGAAGGTCACATGTAGTTATTTTTTCGGAAAGAATCGAGGCTGTGGATTCTACCCGTCAAAGCGCCCTTAAAATCAGAATTTTGATATTTTAAAGACCCACTGAAGACAAAAACAGCCTTCATAAGGCTCAATCCCTCCCAAAAAACAAATAATAGGAAAATCAATGTTTCGAAAAGTTTGTGGGAGACCGCGTTTTTATTGGTGTCCAATCATAGCACCGCATTTTGCCCCGCTTATTTTTTATAAAGAAAGCTTGTATTTTACTGTGTAGTTCCTTTAAATGAAATCGCCAATTTTAAAGGGCCCATGAAGGCAAAAAATGGATTGTTTAGCAGCAAAATTTTTCAAAAGATCTGCTGGTAAAATGAGTGTTTCAAGTATTCGTCGTACGTCCTCAGTTTTGGGGATGCAATTCTTGTCCATCGTTTCGTCTACCTACTTTTTTAATTGCTGGAATTTTGCAAGGCCTGAATTGTTTTAGTATTTTGAAAATTGCTAATGGAATTTTTAACTTAAACCAATTGTATAAATGATTAACGATTTCACGGCGTTTGGGGAAATCAATGTTTCGAAAATTTGCCGGGAATCCGAATTTTGGGAAAATTTAATTTTTCCCTTTTTTCAAGTAACTCCGTTTTTCATTAGTTTTTGTAGTTTTATAATTTTGAACTCGTTTTTTGATTTTAAATTAGAATCTTAGGATCTCGAATCTCGAAATTTTTTTTGCTACTAAAACGATTGTCAAATTAAAGTTCCGAACATCTGTGGAAATCCGAATTTTGTGGAACATTTAATTTCTGTCTTTCAAGTAGTCCGGTTTTCAATGGTTTTTGGTATTATTTAAATTTTGAACTAAAGTTTTTAAATCGGAATTAGAATGGTAGGATCCCGAGTCTCGAAATTTTCAAAAGAAAGATTGAAAAACTATGTTTCGAAAATTTGTGGGAATTCGCAAATTGGAAAACCGTTAATTTAGCTCTTTTTTTCTTTTAATTTAAATTCGCATTAAAACAAGCCTAATAATATAAAAATAAAACCGACGATAGGAACATGTTGTTGATGTGTTTCCGGATGAAGGCGCGCAGACCGAGGAATTTCCCGTAGATACGGTGGAGGACCGTTTTCAGGAAGTCGCGCTCACGCGGATCCTCCGAGTCGAACAGGTCGAGCAACTGGAAAAGTTGGTTATTAGTAGCAAACGGTCTCTGCTAGCCTGCCAGAATTTTTTTGGATTCGATTACGGCATGAAATTCTGGAAAAATCGGTGCTTGAATCCGATTACGCGATCAAATGATCTCTGCTAGCTTGCTATTGTCTTATCTGGCAGCCAGTTTACCGAGTCTCACTTCCCAAATGATCTCTGCTAGCCTGCCCAGCCCTTTCCGATCGATTACGACATGGATTTCCCAAAAAATTGGGCCTTTGGAATCGATTACGCGATCAAATGATTTCTGCCATCTTGTCAATAGCTTATCTGGTAGTCAGTTTATCGATTTCCATATCCCAAATGGCCTCTGCTAGCCTGCCCCTCCTGCCATATCACTTACATTGAGCACGAATCGCTGATCGATGTACTTCTTGCCGATCGAGGCGGCAAAGTCGGGCGACTCGAGGAAACGCAGGAACAGCTCGTACACCAACTGCAAAAAGCGGAATATTTAAATTTATGGTAAAATAGTTAATACGCATTACTAAAGATTTCATAATTTTTGAAAAAATAATGATTCATAAAGTTTACAGGATCTCGAAAATTTTTGGTGCGGAATTCACGAATTGGTAAGAGTTTACTTTACCCCCCCCCCCACAGCCGAAGGGCCTCAAAGTTGTCGGTATTTCCGCTTATTTTGTCGGGATTTTCGCAACGCGATTCGATAGAGCGTCGAAAAATATACTAAGAGTTTTAATTTGAGCCTACAATAATGTAAAATAAAAAAGTTATAGCCAAAAACTTCCGGCTGGGGGGGGTAAAGTAAACCGTAGCCCACGAATTTCATCTGCCAATCTGTCAAACTCTTCTCGAAAATAATAAAAATAAGTTTGCGTTTGATAAAATTATGGAAAAGCCGAAAAAAATTAAAGAACCGGCAGAAAAGGTGTTTTAAAAAAAGGGCCAGTTCCCCACAACTTTTCAGCCATTAGTTCTCTCTTTTCAGCCATTTACACAAAATAAATAAAATTGTATAATGAGATAAATTTTGATGATTAATTCCACACGCTTTTTTCGATAATGCCCTTTAAATTCGATTTAGTTTTTAGAAAAAAGATGCCAGCAAATAGGGAAATTTGGTCGAAAAAGGGGAAAAAGGAAAAAGAAATTTAATCTTTATAAATTCGCCACTTGGGCTTCAATTTAATACGACTGGAATTTTAATGATTTCAATGATTTTAATAATCATTATCGATTTGGAAATCCATATAAAAAATTGTCAAAAAACATGTTGCACGAAACTGGGTGGTCATCGCGAATTTGAGCTGGCTAATCCGCTTGTCTAGGACTTTCCAAATAATATTCATAAAAATAGATATTGAATTTGAACATCAATAATTTAAATTGATATAAATGCAGAAAATTTGCTTGAATTTGCCTCTATTTTGAGTGGAAAATCGATAGAAAAACGATTAATTAAATGGAAAACAATATTTTAAGCTCTATGAAAAAAGCGGTGTTTCGCAATCTATAGATTTCCAAGCGCTATCGAATTATTTATTGATTGGCAATCTCGATGTTCCAAAATAAGATTTACCTACTGAATATTTAGATACATGAATTTCAGCCCCAGATCTAATTTGACGAGCCAAAATCCATAGCCATTTTGCCTTCAGTGACCCTTTAAAAGCCATGAATACAATTTTAAAGGTCTTTTAAAGTCAAACTGGCTAGCAAAGATCATTTTGGAAAGCCCGACGATTTTTCCCGATAAATTTCAAAAAAAATGTGAAAATCAAAACGCTATGTTTCAAAAAATTTACAGCTCGTCTAAAACAAAATTTAACGTGGTATTTAATTATAGGAAATTTTAATATTCGTGTTCGAACAAAATTACGCTAATTTTATCGTTCCATATTCCTCCACCTCGACACGGTAGTTTAGGTTTATTGTGGTCCAAATAATAAAGTTTGCATATTTTTGAAAAAATTGTATGTTTCATAAAATTTGCAGCTTGGATCATTGTTTTCACGGCTATTGGCTATTGGCGCCTAGTAGAATGATTTTTGAATTACGGTGTAATTATTTTCGTATTTTCTAGTTTTTCTGAAAAAAAAATAGGTTGCATAAAATTCATCATCTCAATCTCATCCGGATCTCAAAAAGAATTTTTATTTAAATTACGGTAATTTTAGTGTTTTCCAGAAGACACGGTTTTGTAACGAAATTACGCTAATTTTAATATGACAGTTTAATGAAAAATTGAAGTTTCATAAAAACTACAGCACTGCCAATTTGGTCGATGGGAATTTTTGCATGTTTTTCTTGAACACCTCATCTCGGAAAACCGTTGGTAAAGATTTCTTAAAAAAACAAGTTGCAAAAAATTCTGAACCCAGCTAAACTTTTCTAGAATTAATTGCTGATCCGAATCAGTGTAAATAATTGTTGATCGGATTACGGTGATTTTAGTTTTTTTTTATAAAACGAGATTTTCAAATCAACTGAAAATTTCTGCGCAAAACATGTGTTTTACCAAATGGTCAGGTTAGCTGCATTTTTGTACCATTTGATGGGTCCTTTAGCAAATGTTAATTCTTGGCATTTTTCGTAATTCTCGAAAACGATTAACCTGGAAAATTCAGTTTTTCAATAACTTAAATTTTTAGAAAAATGTATAAGGCGTTTCAAAAATATACGCAAAAAAAAATTAAAAAATAAAGTTTCAAAAAAATGTTAGAATTCCGGGAAAATAAAAATGATTAATGGTACTATCATCGGCATATCTTTAGTTATTTTTAGCTGCTATTTTAATTCGAATTTAATTATTTATATTAAACTAAAATTCAAACCTGCAGATGCGGCCAGGAGACTTCGAGGGTCGGCTCGTCCTCCTCGGGGTCGAACTCCGAGTTGTCTGACGGCGGAAGGACGCGGAAGATGTTCTTCGACACCATCTTGATCACCTGCAAAAAAATAAGAATATTTTAAAGGGCCATTGAAGGCAAAAACGCAACTCTAGCCTATGGTTTTTTGACTTCCAGGTCCCTTTAAAACCGGATTTCCTGATTTTTCTAGCATCGGAGACCATTTTCCGGTCCCAATTTTTTCGCAAATTCCGAATCTGTACTTGGTTTTGCATAAGACTTGATACTTCTCGAGATATCACGCATTTTAGTCTAAAATTCAAAATTTTTACTTTTCTCGAAAATTAGCGATCCACAGTCAAAACGGACCCCAGATTCGGAATCAGCGTAAAAAATTGGTCCAAGAAACATCTATAAATTTAGTTTCAAGATTTTAAAGGGCCATTGAAGGCAAAAAGGGGCGGAGCTTCACCTCCGGATAGATCCCCTCGACGATGGCCCCTTTAACCGTCGTAATGTGATCGATCAGCTCGTTGAGGGCCGCGCGTTTGATCTGGAAATTGGGGTTCAAATTCCGCAAAGAATCTCTGCCAGCTGACCTCCTTGGACTTGAGCTGGGCGACCGGGTCGTAGAAGTCGAAGATGCGCTGGCACTGGATCAGTTTCTGGATGACGAGGGGCGTCTGCTCGGCTGGAGCCGTGTCTGGAAAATGTAAATTGCCCTGGGTGTCCCAGTCCCTTTAAACGAAAATTTCGAGTTTTGAAGGGTCGTTGAAGGCAAAATCGGGAAATCTAGGCATTCCAAAATTCTCTCTGCTAGCCAGTTTGACTTCTAAGGCCCTTTAGAATCGAATTTGAGCTTTTATAGGGCCAGCGAAGGGAAACCAAGCGATGGACTGAGCGTTTCCGGTAAAATGGAATCAGTGACGTGGCAAGCTAGCAAACTTCTTTGCGGAAATTCCAAAATGGCCTCTGCTAGTCAGTTTGACTTTCCAACACCTTTAGCATCAAATCAGACGCGTTTCAAGGACCATTGAAGGCAAAAAAAGCCTACCCTTAATAAGCGGAAGTGCGGTGAGCTCGGGCTCATTTTCCGGATGATATCGGCTGCTGTTGACGATCCGCCGCCGTCGCGACGTGCCCCTCTTCGAGAACGGGTCAATCTTGTCGACAAACTGATTGGCAGTGGCGGAGAGTTGCACTCCTCCCGTGGCAGCGCCCTGAAAAGACGAACTGTCACTCCGCCTTTAAAATAAAACGTTTCCGGCTAAGCCTAAGCCTAAGCCAAGCCTAAGCCTAAGCCTAAGCCTAAGCCTAAGCCTAAGCCAAGCCTAAGCCTAAGCCTAAGCCTCAGCCTAAGCCAAGCCTAAGCCTAAGCCTAAGTTTAAGCCTAAGCCTAAGCCTAAGCCTAAGCCTAAGCCTAAGCCTAAGCCTAAGCCAAAGCCAAGCCAAAGCCAAGCCTAAGCCAAGCCTAAGCCTAAGCCTAAGCCTAAGCCTAAGCCAAGCCTAAGCCAAGCCTAAGCCAAGCCTAAGCCAAGCCTAAGCCAAGCCTAAGCCAAGCCTAAGCCTAAGCCTAAGCCTAAGCCTAAGCCTAAGCCTAAGCCTAAGCCTATCGATATGCCCGATTTCCATGGTCGACCTCTGTTAGCATATGCCTATGCCTAAGCCTAAACCAAGCCTAAAAAATCACCTGTGTCCTCGGCGGCGGCACCTGATGACCGTGCGGGCCGGCGGCCAGCAGTTGGGCTGCTTTTTCCTGGAAAAATAATATAAATTAAGTTAATTAAATAAAAATAAAATTCCAAAGCCCAAATTTAGTAATTTTAAAGGGATTGGACAATGATAACATCATTTTTCAATTTTTGAAAATTTTTGTTGAAAATTTGATGTTTCAACGTTTCTGAGGAGCGCCATTTTTTTCGCCTTGTTAATCATCGGCTTGCTTCACCTCGAGAAAATGAAAGTGAGAATGGGTCTACCTGGGGAGCCTGCTTTCCCAATCCCTTTAAAATCGGTTTTCCAGCGTTTAAAGGCCCATTGAAGGCAAAAATTTCGGGCAGACTTATAGATTTGGACGTCCGAATTCCTTTAAAGTGGATTTTCTCTTTTAAAGGCCCATTGAAGGCAAAAATTTCGGGCAGACTTATAGATTTGGACGTCCGAATTCCTTCAAAGTGGATTTTCTCTTTTAAAGGCCCATTGAAGCCCAAAAAGTGGGCGTGGCTTTGGATTCTGACTTCCCTATCCCTTCAAACTAGATTTTCTATCTTTTAAAGGACCATTGAAGGCAAAAAAACCGGCCAGCTCATGGATTTTGACTTCCCGATCCCTTTGAAATCAACTTCCAAGCTTTTAAAGGCCCATCGAAGCCAAAAAGTGGGCGTGGCCTACCGTTATCTGGCATGTTTTCCTTGTCTTTTGTCGCGGTTGTTGTTGAAACTATCGACCCGAAGTGACCGAGGGTCGATATCTGCAATAAAAATCGATAAAAACGGAAAAAACATGTTTCAAAAATTATAGAAAAACAACAAATTTGAAAAGTGGTAATTCCGAAACGCCATCAAATTTTGCAAAAAAAATCGATAAAAATTAGTCTGCAAAGGCATGTTTCAAAAAATTATGGTAAATAAAAAATTTTGAAAGGGGATGATTAAACGGCGAAATCCAAAATATCATATCAGTTTAAAATGTTTAAAGAGTCGAAAAATCACAAAATTTAAATTGCCAATTTAAGAATGCTGGTAGCATCCTACCTTATATAATTTGGTCGTGTTTCTTTGTGTGTGTGTGTGTGGATGTCACTTTCGAGGCCCGATTTGAGGGCCTTCCCGCGTCCAAAATGCCTTAATTCTCCGTCACCCGGGGGAATCGACCCTCCTCTTTCCGATGGCGCTTTCAGAATCCAGATAAAATAGAATTTTACAAAGTTAAAGCCGGTTTTATTCGTTTTTGGGGTCCGGGAGGGCTAATTTGCATAATGTGAAAAAATACAAATTTCCTCATTCTTGTTGCACTCGCGACTTTGGTCGTCTCTTTGAATCTGCCCCTCGATGCCTTTCCTTCCCCTGCCCCGGGCAGTCCTCTTGAGGCATAAAACGGGTGTTTGACGCGTGCTGCCAAGCATTTCATGGCGTAGTGGTAAGTGCTTCGCCGTGCTAATCCAACCATCGGAGGTTCGATCCTCGGATATCGTAGTTGTTTTGCTTTTTGCTCGGAAAGTGCGTTTCGGAGTAGATGCCGTGTAGGGACGTTATTATGAAGTTAGTCACTCAAGCCGCAGCCTATAGAATGAAGCTACCCGCTCAAGCTAGCGCCGCAGGCTTTAGAACGAAGCTAGCCGCTCAAGCTAGCGCACCAGGCTTTGGAACGAAGCTAGCCGCTCAAGCTAGCGCCGCAGGCTTTGGAACGAAGCTAGCCGCTCAAGCTAGCGCCGCAGGCTTTGGAACGAAGCTAGCCGCTCAAGCTAGCGCCGCAGGCTTTAGAACGAAGCTAGCCGCTCAAGCTAGCGCCGCAGGCTTTAGAACGAAGCTAGCCGGTCAAGCTCAGCGCCGCAGGCTTTGGAACGAAGCTAGCCGCTCAGGCTAGCGCCGCAGGCTTTAGAACAAGCTTTAGCCGCTCAAGCTAGCGCCGCAGGCTTTAGAACGAAGCTAGCCGCTCAAGCTAGCGCCGCAGGCTTAGAACGAAGCTAGCCGCTCAAGCTGGCGCCGCAGGCTAAGAACGAAGCTAGCCGCTCAAGCTAGCGCCGCAGGCTAAAGAAGGGGGTTACCGCTCAAGCTTGCGACAGGCTTTATCTCGAAACAAACCGCTCGAGCCGGCGCCGCTGGATGAGGACCTGCGCCGCAGGCCTAATAACGACACTAGCCATTTAAGCTTGCGCCGCATGAGAATACAAAGAGGTTTGCACGGGAGATGTGTTTTTCTTTCTTCAGGGTAAATTTATGTGTAAGGGCGCTCGATTCATAGGGCCTAGACGGGGTCCAGCGGGGGAGAGTCGCGAAGCGGCTCCTCCCCCGCTGGTCTCTAATAATTTGTTAAAAATACGTCTAAAGTCAATATAAAATGTTTCAAACAAAGTTTAAAAAATAAAAAAATATCAGGACGTGTTTTACACGCCATAGAAAATAGTTTAAATTTAAATTAAAAGCTCACAAAAATTGTATGAGGAAAATTCCAAAATATTATCGAAGTAGACAGGAATATTTATCAATCAATAAATACCAAACTTGGATTTATATGTTTCAAGAATTATAGAGAAAAATGAGTGTTTGGAAATTCGTAATTTATCGCAAACATTTAATCATTATTTTAACTTATTATTGTTATCTCCAAATCCTCATTTTTTACTAAAATTATGGTAAGTAATCAATAATCACAGCCGAATTATTTGCGCAAAGGCGTATTGGCGTATTTTTTCGTGAAAAATCAAGTTTCACAAAAAGCTAACAAAAATTGAAATTTTTGGACGTTTCAAAACTTTAAAAAAGGCAGAATGAAAAAGTTAATAATCCATTTCAATGTGCCGAAAATAAAATCACATCAAATTTTTTAGTTTTTTTTTAAATGAGATCGAGCAAGTTCAAATTATTTTCCGCGAAAAGCACCACTGATGGTTTTTCGATGAAACATTAAATCTACAAAAAAAATTGACTAATGATTTGAAATAATAATAACATTAATAATACATTTTTATCAATCTTCATTTTAATAACGTTCGAAAGCACGAAAAATGTGCAAGCTAAGCATGTGCAACGTCTATTAATTCCCAAGCATCTAAACTAGCATACTTTTTCGATGAAACATGACATTTTATAAAAAATCCTTCCTTATTTTCTATTTTTTCTCTCGTGAAAATGATTGATAATTGCTGTTTTTTAATTAACAGTGTATTTTACAATTTTATTACGTTAAAACGATCGATCGATAATTGGAAAACGCTGGAAACCTGGCAAAATTAACGATCGGATTGATCCAGCCTAGCGAATATAGCATTAATTCTCAAAAATCCAAACTAGCCTCATTTTTCGATGAAACACAGAATTTCTTAACAACATTTTGTCTTGTTTATCGTTTCTGTTCTCGCGAAAATCGATCGATATTTGCTGTCTTTTTAATTACTGATGTCTTTTATAATTTTTTTACGTTAAAAACGATCGATCGATAACTGGAAAACCGGATCCGGAATATGGCAAAATTATCGATCGATTTGAGGAGAAATGGAAGGCTACGATTAATGCCCAGAAGTCCAAACTGGCCTAATTGTTTTGATGAAACACGATATTTTGGATCACAAAATGCCCTTATTTTTATTTTTCTTTCTTGTGAAAATCGATCGGCAATTGCGGGTTTTCAAATTAATAACGTATTTTATTCTTTTTACGTTAAAAACGATCGATCGATAATGGAAAACACTAAAAATTTGGTAAATTATCGATCGATTTGTTGCGTCACGACTCTAAAGGGTATTAATTACCGAAAATCCCAAATGGCCTAATTTTTTGATGAAACACCGAATTTTTTTGCAGAAAATTGATCTTTATTTTGTATTATCTTTATCGTGATTTTTTAAATTAATGCCCAATTTTATTATTTTGACGTTAAAACGATCGATCGATAATTGGAAAACGCTGGAAACCTGGCAAAATTAACGATCGGTTTGCGCCCAAAAAAACGATATATTAATTCCCAAAAAATCTAAATAGCCTAATGTTTCAGCTGAAACACTGAATTTTTTACAGAAAATTTATCTTTGTTTTGTACTTTCTTTCTTGTGAGAATTGATCGATAATTGCTGTTTTTTTAATTAATGCCCAATTTTATTGTTTTTACGTTAAAAGCGATCGATCGATAACTGGAAAACCGGATCCGGAATATGGCAAAATTATCGATCGATCTGACCAGAAATTGGAAAGCGTCGATTAATGCCGAGAAGTCCCAACTAGCCTAATTGCTTTGCTGAAACACGATATTTTGAATCGCAAAAGTGCCCTTATTTTTATTTTTCTTTCTTGTGAAAATCGATCGGCAATTGCAGGTTTTCAAATTAATAACGTATTTTATTCTTTTTACGTTAAAAACGATCGATCGATAATTGGAAAACACTAAAAATTGGTAAAATATCGATCGATTTGTTGCCTGACCAAAAGGGTATTAATTACCGAAAATCCCAAATAGCCTAATTTTTTGATGAAACACCGAATTTTTTTGCAGAAAATTGATCTTTATTTTGTATTATCTTTATCGTGATTTTTTTTAAATGAATGCCCAATTTTATTATTTTTACGTTAAAACGATCGATCGATAATTGGAAAACGCTGGAAACCTGGCAAAATTAACGATCGGTTTGCGCCCAAAAAAACGATATATTAATTCCCAAAAAATCTAACTAGCCTAATGTTTTAGATGAAACACTGAATTTTTTACAGAAAATTTATCTTTATTTTGTACTTTCTTTCTCGTGAAAATCGATCGATAATTGCTCTTTGTTTTTTAAATTAATGCCCGATTTTTATTTTTTTGTATTTTTACGTTAAAACGGTCGATCGATAATTGGAAAACACTAAAAATTTGGCAAAATATCGATCGGTTTGCACCTGCCTAGAGAAAATTGATTAATTCTCAAAAATCCGAAATAACCTATTTTTTGATGAAACACATAATTTTTCGCAAAAATTGATTCTGATTTTTTTATTTTTTCTCGTGAAAATCAATCGATATTTGCTGTTGTTGTTATTAATTCCAAAAAATCCCAAATCGCCTAATTTTTTTGATAAAACATAGAATTTTTATAATATTGTTTCCTTTTTGCATATAGAAAAAAAACATCGATAATTGCCAATTTTCGACGTGGAAAATCAGAGAAAATACTGGAGAAATGAGATTGTTACTGCAGCGGCAAAAATTGGATGAACCGTCGAAATCCCCGAGTCAGATGCGTC